CTACTTTGAATGCATTACACCTTTCAGAAGCCTGAAACTAAAAATGACTTTCCTATTGATGTCTCCATTCCTCTCACAAGGAGTGAAGGAGTCTTTCTCCTGAATTCTCAATCAGCTGCAGCTCTGGCCTGTCTGGAGCCTTCCACAAGCGGCTGGCTACCTTCTCTCATCTGCTTCTTTACTCTTTTACCAGTGAGCCCAGAAATGCTGACCTTATGGCATTACTGTAAAACAGGAAAATGGCAGAATAAGTGCTAACTGTGCTACTTGGACAATTGTAGTGGCTAATAGGTAGGGCTAGAACTTTTCTTTTTCAGTTTCTGGTACAGAAAGAAAGAAAGAGAGATATGGCTTCAGCTATTTTGTTTGTTTATTTCTTTATGGCTCCATCGATCTTCATAAACAAGGCATGTTTTTAGTTAATGATCAGCTAAGAAAAAATACATATGCTAAACCAGATGGGTGAAATTAACAGTTTCACTAAACCAACTTTCACATCACCAGTTCTGCAATACCAACCAAAAGACATCATAGTTTTGATTTTAGGCAACAATTAGAAATGCAAACTTTTAACAAATGTGCTGAATGAGTATTTTACCTTAGAATCACTTTTTTTTTTTAAATTAAATTTGGTAGTGCAGAACACTGTTTAGATTCTTGTGCAGAGAAAATACTGATTGGTAATATTGGTCGTGGTGAAAGGTTTTCATATAGGAAAGAAATAATGAAGTCCTTTCAGTCTGTGAAGTTATTTTTGTTCTAAGAATTTCAGCTTTGTGAAGGATTTTCCCAGCAATCTCAGCTTCCTGGGCATTACTATTAACGGTTTCTGGAGTTCTGTATGAGGGGTCAGCAGGGCAATTGTTTCCTTTAGAACTTCATTTGGTTTGAAGTCTCTCTCTTCCTCTGAGTCCACAAAGTGCAGGCCCAGGCATGCTCAGCAAACCTGGGCCTCTTAGTTAGGCATTAGTAGAGCAGGTAAGGTAAAGATGAATTGTTAAGAAAATGCCAGTGTTGCTTTGCTGGGGATGTTCACAGGGAGGCTTCTGAAATGAGCACATTTAAAACTAAATACGCAGATTAAGAGAGGAAGGGTTTATGTTGCAACCCTTTAGGAGACTTTGTGATTGTGGCAGTTGGTTGGGTGGGATGGAATTCTTGCCCCAACTCTGCAAAGGGAAATCTCAGATTCAGATGGGGACGGATGTTATCATTTAGCTCTGTCCCAAGGGGTGAGCGAGTTCAGGAAAAGCATTCTAGGTGGCCCACTGCTGTGCTGTTGGAGCCAGGCACCTGTGGCTCACGCCTGTAATCCTAGCTACTCAGGAGGCTGACATCTGAGGATCCAGGTTCAAAACCAGCTCAAGCAGGAAAATCTGTGAGACTCTTAACTCCAATAAACCACCAGAAAACTGGAAGTGGCACTGTGGCTTAAGTGGTAGAACACTAGCCAGTCATGAGCTGAAGAGTGTAGGCCCAGAGTTCAAGCCCCATGACCAATAGAACACACACACACACATACACACACACACACACACACACACACACACACACACACAGAGCTGGAAGCAATCCGAAGGTCTAAAACAATCAAGAATGAGTTGGGGACATGAGGTATTCTAAAGGGCATCACAGTTGGTCCTTTCTACCAACTTGTGCAGCTTCAATCAACCATGAAGCAGAAATATTTGGAAAAGCAGGCTGGAGGGTAGCTCCATGGTAAAGTACTTTGCCTGGTGTGTGTGAGGCCTTTGGTTCAATCCCCAGTATTGGGAGAGAAAAAACAAACAACAAAACCACACACACGCACAGAGAAAAATTACATCTATAATGAACATAGACAGACATGTTTTTTCTGCTATCAGTCCCTAAATGGTATAGCATGGCACCAATTTCCATAGCATTTCCGTTGTATTAAATATGTGATTTAAAGGTAAAGCACACAGAGATGTGTGCATTGTAGGGATGTGTACATCATATGCCAGTACAGCGTGGTTTATATATGGGTCTTGGGATCTCAAAACCACTCCCCCACCCCAGACACCGAGGGATGATGGTATTATTGAAACAATGGAGAGAACAAGCCTCCAAGGCTGGAAATTTGTCTCAGCTGTAAAATAGCCTTGCACATGCAAAGCCCTAGGTTCAGTTTTAAGCAATGGAAACAAAAGGAAAAGAATAATCTGTCAGGCTCTGACAGCTCCTCATACTATAAAATTAATTTAGAAAATGAAGTTGAGACCCAGGTGCTGGTGGCTCACACCTGTAATCCTAGCTACTCAGGAAGCTGAGATCTGAGGATCGAGCTTCAAAGCCAGCCCAAGCAGGAAAGTCTGTGAGACTCTTATCTCCAATAAACCACTCAGAAAACTGGAAGTGATGCTGTGACTCATGTGGTAGAGCGCTTGCCTTGAGCTGAAATGCTGAAGGATAGCGCTCAGGTCCAGAGTTCAAACCCCACAACTGACAAAAAAAAGTCATAATCTATAGCAAATAGACCATTTTTGAAAGAAAATGAATATGTACATATATAGATGAATTATATATGCAGAGGGAGAGGAAACTTCTGGATTTTTGTTGTTGCTTCATACCAATTTATGTGTTGGTGTGTGTGTGTGGGTTGGTACTAGGGCTTGAACTAAGGGCCTCATGCTCTTACTTAGCTTTTTTACTCAAGACTGACACCTTTTTTTTTTTTTTTTTGTCACTCATGGGGCTTGAACTCTGGGCCTGGGTGCTGTCCCTCAGCTCTTCAGCTCAAGGCTAGCGCTCTACCACTTGATCCATAGTGTCACTTCTGGTTTTCTGGTGGTTAATTGGAGATTACGAGTCTCACAGACCTTCCTACCCAGGCTGGCACTTTACGTCTTGAGCCATGCTCTGCATCTGGCATTTTGCTGGTTATTTGGAGATAAGAGCCTCAGGTTTGTCTGTCTGGGCTGGCTTCAAACCACAATCCTTAGATCTCATCCTCCTGAGTAGCCAGGGTTACAGGCATGTAACCGCTGGTACCATCAGTACCCAGCACATTTTATTACTATTATTTTTTCTGGCAACAAACAGCTATACAAGAAATACAGAAGAAGGGACAATCTGTTCATTCAGTAAGATGAGTTTTGTTTTGGCCCCACAGCCCAGAGTCTGTCAGGACAAACACAGTGTCCCCTCTCAGGGTCAGCCCAGTCCACCTTTGTGTCCACAGGGACCAGCACCTGCTCATGAACGTGGTGTCAGCTTTCACTCCCTCACCCTGACCTTTCTGAACTTGATCTCTGACATCTACAAGGACTTCTGCAAGGGAACTGACCTCAAATAAATGAACCCCAAACTTGCCTATATCAGGCAACTCCTCTCCCCTCCTTCTTTGTCCAAGTAGTGAGTCTCTTGTTGCCACCTAAATTTTTTTTTCTTTTTAAATAACACTTTTATTTTGAATAGAATAAAGAAAAATGGAAAAATGTCACATGCAACAGATTTTAGGCAGGTGAAATTTTAGTTTGTGTTGATATTTAACATTCAAGCTGACATTATTTACATGTAGCTTAGGATGTAAGTTACATGTAAATAACATATGTTGGATCCTGTCTGGTCTTTTGTTAACATGACACCTGCAAAACTGTTGCCTAGTCCCCTGGGTGCTTAGGGGCTCATGCCTGTAATCCTACTTATAGAGGAGGTAGAGATGTGAGGATCAAGATTCAAAGCCAACCCCAGTAGATAAATCTGAGATACTCTTGTCTTCAGTTAACCACCTAAAAGCCAGAAGTAGAGGCATGACTCAAGTAGTAGAGTATGAATGTTGAGCAAAAATCTAAGGAACATCTCCAGGCCCTGGGTTCAAGCCCAGTTCTGGCACAAAAATTGAAAAAAGAAATTGTTACCTAGAAAGTAAACATTCATTGGACTGAACTAATCAACAAGAGAGATGAATAACAAAGATAGATTTTAGCTGACTCTACCAGTGACATCACAGGGCTATTAAACTTGTTTGCTTAGATATGGGTCAGTTTATAGATTCGTGGCAGGATTATGTAAAAGGAATCATGTAGCTTAAAGCAGCTGTGTGCATAATACTCCTTTCATGGCACAAAGGTGCAGGTGGAGACCAGCACTTGGTTGTCCACCACGACTGGCACTACAGATTGCATGCAAGCTCTTTATGGGCGATGGAGACAAAGCTGGGTTCAAAGGTTGGTCCCACTGCCCTTTGCCAGCCTTGGTAACTTTAGCCAAGTTACAGAGTTGCTTCTCCAGATCTTAGTCTCTTCTTGTGAAAAACAAGGAGGCTAATAATAGGACCAACCTCATAAGAGTTTACAGATCAAATGACAGAATTGGCAAAGGCTACTTTCCCAGATATTGGACACCTTATGGTAAGGCTTCCATGAAAGTTCACCCATCTTTTGTATTGAATTCAGAGACCCACCAAACCCTCCCCAGACACACACAAAACAAACCAGAAAGCAAAAGATGCTGAAGGAGCGTCTCAAAATTAGATTGTGTGTGTGTGTGTGTGTGTGTGTGTGTGTGTGTGTGTGTGTGTGTGAGTGTGTGTGTGTGTGTCTGTCTGTCTGTCTGTCTGTCCCCAAAATTTTGAGAACTATTTGGGAACTATTTCTGGGATAAGACACATTCTTTTCCAGAGACTCTTAAAGGGAGAAAAAAGGCTCTTGGAAGTTTCAGTGGTCCTGATTGCGTGGTGAATTACATAGAGTGAATTCTTCTCTCGAGGTACTTTCTCAGCTATGTTAGGCACATCCTTTTTCCCAGGGTACTAGGCTGTCATTTAGTGCCAAAGAAAAAAGCTATTAAACAGAATGACACCACGGCATCCCCAAAGGATTTAATTTATGTCCCCAGAAGGTGGTATATTTCAAGGTATGCCAAAACCAACTGTATCAATAACTCAGGTGATTTAATTGGCTTTTGCCTCTTCTTTCTCAAGCCACGTCAATCCCGTGGTAATTAATTTTGTGTACTGTGGATTGTGTTATTTACAGTGCCGAGGAGCCAAAATGAATCTGTATTAGAAATCGGTGGGAAGATATTTGAGCAGGCTGTAAAGAGACTCTCCAGCGTGGACGGGCTTCACCAAATTAGCTCGGTCGTCCCCTTCCTGATGGATTCCAGCTGCTGTGGATACCATAAAGCATCCTACTATCTCGCCGTCTTCTATGAAACCGGATTAAATGTACCCCGAGACCCGCTGCAGGTGGAGTATTTCATGGGGTCCAGGAGCACCTGTCACTGGGTTATGCTTGCCAAGTAATGCCCCTGCTAGACTTCCACGTGTGGTGGCTCCTTGGAGTCCCTTAAAAGTCTTTACACCCAGAAAAAATGTCCTTGGGCTGTGGAAATATATAGGATAGCCAGTTTCCAATGAGCAGAAAGGGAACATCATCCATTTCCACTCTGGGCCTTGAGGGTATGGTTGTTGTATCATCTAAGGGACCATTTGGGTCAGGATGGCCAGAATTCTAGTCCTTCAGAATAAGAGGCTTCTGGGCTGGGAATGTGGCTTAGTGGTAGAGTGCTTGCCTAGCATGCATGAAGCCCTGAGTTCGATTCCTCAGTACTACATACACGGAAAAAAACGGAAGTGGTGCTGCGGCTCAAGTGGTAGAGCGCTAGCCTTGAGCAAAATAAAATAAAATAAAAAGCTCAGGGACAGTGCCCAGGACCTTAGTTCAAAAAGAAAGAAAAAATAGAAAAGAAAATAAGAGGCTTCTGATGTGTGCAGCTCCGCTCACTGTGAGCTTCCTATTCATCCCATTTTACTTTTAGCTAAGAGAAGCCATTTGAATCTCTTAAGAGAGTATGGTGACAGCCAGCCATCTAGCATCAGAGTGAAATGACATTCTACTCGATTTTTTTTTGGTGGGGGGCGGGGGGAGGGAGGTTTGGAAATCGAAATTGATGATGCAACTTGTCTAACATTTAGAATCCCAGCTTCATAAGTGCCTCAGCCAGAGGTCCCCTGAGGAACGAAACCAAGGGGATTATGTAGATAGAAAGAGATTGATTAGGAAGAATTGGTTTGCATACTCTTGGAGAGGAGAAGTCCCGTGACCTACCATCTCAGAGAGGGAAGCTGGGAAGTGTGTTGGTGTTTTCAGCCCAAGCCCGAAGGCCAGGAGAGATGATAGTGTGAAGTTCTGATCCACTGCGAGTGGGGGTAGGGGTGGGAAGGGCCATGGTATCCCGTAGGGCAAAGCAGTCGGCAGGATGCAGGCCTTGAGTCTCTTTAGGATCTCAGGCGATTGGCTGCTATGTACCCACCACTGCCATTTACTCCACTCCGTCCAAATTCTTTTTTTTTTTTTTTAAGAATTGGAGTTTGAACTCAGGGCCTCATGCTTGCCAGGCAGGCACTCTGCTACTTGAGTCTTACTCCTAGTGAATTGCTTTAGTTAATTTTCAACTAGGGGTCTAGCCTTTTTACCTCTGGCCAGCCTGGACCTCAATCCACCTATGTATGCCTCCGTGATAACTGTCATAGCTGGGATTACAGGTATGAACTACCAACCCTGGTTTATTAACTGAGATAGGTTCTCCCTAACTTCTTCCCATAGACTGGCCTCAAACCTTGATGCTCCTAATTTCTGCTTTCTAAATAGTGGGGATTCCAAGTGTGTACCACTACTCCCAGCCTTACCAATGCTAATCTTATCTGGAAACGCCCTCCCAGATAAACCAAGAAATAGTGCTAAAGCTTTGTAGCACCCAATTGGGTAGCCAAATTGACCTAATGACCTTCACATGACCGCCTTTTGAATTTTTTTTTTTAAGGTTTTTGCCTCTGTTTAGGTGAAACTCATTCTGTTTAGACTTCCCCAGGGTTGGTTCATTGTTGCTTTTCTGATTTATAGATGCTCCTGACTGATGGAATGTTTTCCTGAGACCCCGAGGCAGCCCCACAAATGGAATGGTGTAGAAAATCTAGCCCTGTCCACTGACTATGGGCAAATGACTTCACTTTTCTAGGCTTCTGTTTCCTCAACTATGAAATGAGATTGTGGGACCAGCTGGTCTGTAAGGACCTGTCTAGCACTAGTATTCTGACAGTGGAAGGTTGGAGCACATATGTGTTATGTAGATCATGAGTTCATAGACTGGATAGCTCTTGTACAGGGGTCTTCATACAGTGAAGGTACACACAACAGTGTTGAGAGAAGCCAAGGAAGAACTCTGTTTCTACCAAAAAATGACAAAAGAGCATTCTAAGTGTTAAACATTAGGAAAATCAAACACCTGGGAATTAGGAATCCATTAGAGAGTTGGGTCAACTTCTTTATTCAAGATTTATTTGCCAGGCACTGGTAGCTCATGCCTGTAATCTTAGTTAACCAGGAAGCTGAGATCTAAGGATCGTGGTTCAAAGCCAGCTTGGGCAGGAAAGTCTATCTTATCGCCAATTAACCACCAGAAAACTGGAAGTGAAACTGTGGCTTCAAAGTGATAGAGCACCAGCTTTAAGTGGAAATAGCTCAAGGAAGCTCCAGGGACCTGAGTTCAAGCCCCACACCTGACAAAAAAAGAGATTTATTTATTTAATAAATTCCAGAAAATGGAAACAAGATTTTTTTTTTCTTTTTTGCTGTTTTTGTTTTCTTTTTAGTCATATTTGTTCACTTATATGTCTTTGGGAGTGTAAGGGTAGGCACAGAAATGGAGAGACAAAGGATGAATAAATGCAGCAGTGGAACTCACTAGACAGCATGTGGAAAATGCACAATACACCTTGTGGGTGGAGATGGGAAGGGAAAACTGGAAGAGAAGGAAAGCAAGGGTGAAACTGACTGCTATAACTGTAACCCCTCTGCACATCACCTTTTGAAAACAGTAAAAAAAATTAAGATTAGGGGCTGAGAAGGTAGAGCGCTTGCCTTGCATGCATGAGGCCCTGGGTTCGATTCCTCAGCACTTCATAAGCAGAAAAAAAAAAAAATGGAAGTGGTGCTATGGCTCACGTAGTAGTGTGCTAGCCTACTTGAGCTGAAGAGCTGAGGGACAGCACCCAGGCCCAGAGTTCAGACCCCATGACCGGACTCCAAAAAAAAAAAAATTAAGATTATTTATTTGTAAAGGGAAGTTAAGCTAGAATGGCATGAACTTTCAGTGTTAGCATTTTATGACCCTACAGGAGCAACAATCTTGGGAAACATGTTGTTCATTTCTTCCTAACAGGGCATGTTATATAGTTTGGTTGGCGGCCAGGGCAGCGAGAGACTATCTTCAATGAATCTTGGATATAAACACTACCAGGGGGTTGACAACTATCCTCTAGATTGGGAACTCTCCTATGCCTACTACAGCAACATCGCCACAAAGACCCCGCTTGACCAACACACACTGCAGGGAGACCAGGTAGGACAGAGATGGTCGGAGGTGGCTATGGGCCTGCTTACCAGGGCTTCCTGCACAATTTCATTGGGTCTGCACCCGTGGCTGGCTTATTCGTTGGCTTATAGAGAAAAATGCATAATCAAATAGAGAGACAAGCTTCCTTCCTGTCTCTGGGTGCAATTCCCTGGCACATGAAGGGGTGATTTGGCTCTGGACAGATTTTGATTTTGTAAAAAGTAGGCACCAGAAACATCTAAGCATCTGGTCTTGTCCGAAGACATTATGAGAGATGGCAAGGTCTGGAGATGTTAAGAAGGATGGAGTCAAATTGTGTGGAAGCAGTAATCTCCCAGGGCTCCCGTTACCATGTGACGAGCAAGCAGGCTCTATAATTCACAAAGCCAGCGCCATACCCAGCCAAGGTGCCAAGAATGGGCACTTGAGAAATGTCTGCCCCCATCCCATGATCCTTCTGGCATAATACTCTCACAAGTGACGCTTAACACTTTTTTCTTTGCAAGAACTAAGGACTGGATGTGGTCACTAACTCTAGCCCCTCATTTTGTAGGCTCTTGAATCGTATTGACAAATCTTATTGGCAAAGAAATTAATGGCTTAGATCTGCCAAAAAAAAATCCCGTAATGTGTTAGATTAGACTCACCGGTGGCTTGTTTCCAGACTTCTCTGGAGGACAGAGAATAAAAGACTCTTACGAAAGAAAGATGGGTGAGTGAGAAGAGAAGGCATACTGCCTCTTGATGGTATCGGAGCAGTGAGGTACTGACTTTGTGGTCATTACACGTGTATGGTCAAGTTGAGAAGTGCAAATGATCTATTCAAGGAACTGGCTTTACTTTTTTCTTTTCTTTCTTTTTTTTTCTATAAAGGATCAACTGGTAACTATTTTGGGCTTTGTCTATGTGGAGAAGAGCTTTTTTGCCCTCTTCAGCAGTGGTAGCTGCTCAGCTCTGCCATGGAAATACAGAGAGAATTGAGAAGCCTGGGTTTGTGCAGCCATGGGTGGTATGCAACTGTGTGGCAGGATTTGGCTGTGATCTGGGCTGTGAGCTGGACTTTGCCCTGCTTGCTGCACAGGCCCAGGGGGAGGCCTGGCTAGGCCAGGGTTATTGAATCTCAGGCTTAGTGACTAACTGGGAGCCAGATCACTTGTCTCTAGCTGTGCTGTTGGATGATGCCAGAAACCTACAGTGCAGAAAATGAATGCTTTGCTATTTGGAGATAGATGGTCCCTCTATAAGGATTCTATAAATTCTCTAGTATATTATCTAGAGTGAGTGTTCTTTCAGTGTATAGAATGATAGACAAAATTTGACTCCAGTTTGGGCTAGTGATAGAGGTCAAGTAGCAGAGCACACACTCAGCAATCACAAGGCTCCAGATTTAAACACACACACACACACACACACACACACACACACACACACACACACACACACACACACACACACACACACACACACACACACACACACACACACACACACACACACACACACACACACACACACCCCTAGCCAGGCCAGGTGCTAGTGGCCCATGCTTGTAATCCTAGCTACTCAGGAGGCTGAGCTCAGGATTACAGTTCAAAGCCAGCCTAGTAGGAAAGCCCATGAGACTCTTTCCTCCAGTAACACACACACACACACACACACACACACACACACACACACGGACATATACACACAAAAAATATATTGAATTATATGGCCTTAACTTAATAGGAAGTAATTTCTTTTTTGTTTGTTTGTTGTTTTGTTTTTGGTCGTTTGTGGGGCTTGAACTCTGGGCCTGGGTGCTGTCCCTCAACTCTTCAGCTCAAGGCTAGTGCTCTACCACTTGAGCCACAGCGCCACTTCCAGTTTTTCTGGTGATTAATTAGAGAGAAGAGTCTCACAGACTTTCCTGCCTAGACTGGCTTTAAACTGTGATCCTCAGATCTCAGCCTCCTGAGTAGCTAGGATTACAAGTGTGAGCTACTAGCACCTGGCAATCAGTATTTTTGTGGGTGGGCCTGCCACTGTCCCTGAGGGTTTTTATGTTTTGTTTTGTTTTGTTGGTCGTGGGGCTTGAACTCTGGGCCTGACAGTTCCTAAGCTCTTCAGCTCAAGGCGAGCGCTCTACCACTTGAGCCACAGTGCCACTTTCTGTTTTCTGGTGGTTTATTGGAGATAAGAGACTCATGGACTTTCCTGCCCGGGCTGGCTTTGAAACACAATCCTCAGATTTCAGCCTCCTCAGTAGCAATGATTACAGGTGTGAGCCACCACCAACTGGCCTTCACTGAGCTTTTTTGCTCAAGGCTAGTGCTCTACCACTTTAGCTACAGCGCCACTTCTGGCTTTTGGGGGGAATTAAACATCTCATGCACTTTCCTGCCTGGCTGGCTTTCTACTGTCATCTTCAGCTCTCAGCCTCCTGAATAGCTAGGATTACAGCCCTGAACCAGAGCTTGGCTTTTAATCAATAATTAAAAAAAAAAACAAACTACAAATATCCTGCATGCTGGGAGCATAGATCAAGTGGTAGAGATCCTGAGTTCCACCCTAGCCCTGTATTTATATATATATAAACAATTTTACAAAATCAAGCCACAAAATAATACCGCCTTTGTCTTTCCACTAAACCCGAATGTGTTAATAATGTCCTGTATGTATAGATTATACTTTTAAGACTTCTAATTCAGCATGAATTAGCAGCAGGAAATGATACGTTGCTAACAAGCTCCTTTTCTTTTGAAGATTTGGCATATGAAATGTTATGATTATGAAAGGAAATGTTTAATTGGTCAGAAGGGGGGGCGGAGAGATGAACAGGACAGATCCATCTTGCAGCTGAAAAGTCCTGTGATGAAGAATCACAGATAGGAATTATACACTTAGATGGGTTGTGTCATAGCTCATTTTCTTAAGAATGTGTAATTAATGACTTCTTAAGCATTTAAGCAGGTGCCATGCATTGATCTAAATGTCCTTTTGTTGAGATATCTATTAATTCACAAACATAATGCTACCAAGAGGAGCTCTCGAAAGCCAGACCTCTAATTAACAAACCAAGAATCTGTCAATAGCTCCTTTTCTAGACTCTGGTTTCATCTTCTCTTTTGTGGAACTCACCCTTCCCCTGATCCTTCTTCTGTATCAGAGCTCTTTCTGCACACCTCTTTTGTGATGGAATAAGGCTTTGCTTTCACACGAACCAGAAAGAGGGGAATGTTTCTGTTTGTTTGTGGTTTAAATTGCAAATCATGTCTCTCATTCACTCTCCAAAAGTCCTTCTTTAAGGCTCAGACCCAGATTTGTGTTCTCTGCATCTTCTGGGAGCTTCAGCCGCCCAGCGCATGGGTGGAATTCCATCTTGATCTCTGGCTGGGATCTTTCTATACTTCCTTATCTGTCATTATCACACCTAGAAGCACCCCTCCACCTGCCCCCACCCTGCTCCAGCACCTCTACCATTGTTGGTGCTGAAACTGGGAAGTCATCCTTGATCTCTCCACCCATGCCAGTTCCTCTTCATCCCCACCATTACTGCCTATTTTTATTTATTTATTTATTTTTATTTTTTGCCTGTCCTAGGGCTTGAGCTCAGGACCTGGGCACTGTCCATGAACTTCTTTTGCTCAAGACTAGCACTCTGTGACTTGAGCCACAGTCCCACTTCCGACAATTTTTGAATAACTTATTGGAGATGAGAGTCTCACGGACTTTCCTGGCTCAGGCTGGCTTCAAACTAGCAATCCTCAGATCTCAGCCTCCTGAGTAGCTAGGAACACAGGTGTGAGCCACCAGCTCCCGGCTCCATTGCCTGATTTTGTCCTTCATCCTCTCCCCCTGGGCTATGCTAACAGCCCCCCTGGAAGCTTGCTGGACTCCATGGGCATAACCCAGCACAGGAAGAGAGTACAAAGCACGAGCATCCCTCCTGAGGAGCCCTGAACACTGCTGGAGGCAGCTCCTCTCACAGTTGCCAGGGGCGCTCTGCAGGACATTTGTGCAGGTGGGTGGGGCAAATGGAGCCTAGGAAATTGCCCATTCTTGCCTGCAGTTCCTTGGATCCCAGAATGCTGGCTGAGCCATTTAACTCACAAAAATCTTCAGAGCTGCAGAGCTGCAGAAGCTTCTGATCTGGGGCTGCTGAAAGGTCTTCAGATCCAGATCCAGGGGACTTTTACCTGCTTGACCTCTTCTGTCTTCTTGTCCTCTCTCCCTCTACCTTCTTCCTCTTCTCTGCCAGTCTGTCTGCCTCTCTCTGTCTCTCTCTGTCTCTGTCTCTCTCTGTCTCCCTCATTCCATTGTTCTCTTTATTTCCCTTCCTCTTTCCCACCCTTTCTTCCCTCCCCTGTTCCCTTCTTTCTCCTTTCTTTTCTTCCTTTTTTTCTCTGTCTCTCTCTCCTTCCTTCCTTTCTTCCTCACTCTTTTTGTTCTTCCTTTTCTCCATTCTTTCTTTTTTTTTGGGTCCGGTCATGGGGCCTGAACTCTGGGCCTGGGCGCTGTCCCTCAGCTCTTCAGCTCAAGACTAGCTTCTGGCTTTTTTTTTTCTGCTTATGTGGTGCTGAGGAATCGAACCCAGGGCCTCAGGCATGCAAGGCAAACGCTCTACCACTGAGCCACCTTCCCAGCCCTCTCCACTCTTTCTTCCCTTCTTCTCTTCTTTCTTTTCCTTTCTATCCCTATCCCCCCTTCTTTTCCCTTCTCTGTCCCCTTTCTCTTCTCTCGCTCTCTTGCCTTCTCCCTCCCTACTCCTTTTCTTCTCCCCCTCCTCCCAGCCTTCCCAGAAATCAGTGAGAGCAGCCACCTGGTCTGACAGAAACATTGTGTTTGGTGTCTACAGGCTGGGCAGCCACAAGCAAAGCAAAGGCACCAGCATGGACATCTCCTGGCCCATGTGGTGCCTCCTTGGCGCTTGGTGTGCATGGAAGAGGCAGTGGGGCCTGAGGACCGCTTGCTTTCCACTCACTATGCCTCCTGGGAGCTGGCAGCACATGTTAACCCCACAGTGTAAGACTGGAAAATCACAGCTGCTCATTCTGCAGACTCTGACTCTAGAAAACATGGAAGATCCCAGAACTGGTCTTTTGGGGGCTCTGGATGCTTACGGGTACCCCAGGGCTGCATGACCTGTCCCACCCCCTCTACTGCTGCTCTTCTCCACCTGGCTTCTTTCCTGGCCACCACGCTGCTGTTTCGATGAAAGAACAACTGGCTGTTGTTCCTTTTAAGTCATTCTGTCTCCAGATGGCCTGTGGCTGACAGTCACCCACTTTCTCAGCGGGCCCAGGCATGTGCTCTGCCATGTGCTGATGGCTGCCTTGGTTAGCCTACAAGTATGTCGAGACACCCCCTGTGGGAAGAGGCAAGCAGTAGGGGACTCCAGACTGGCTTGCCATGAGTCCTAAGCCTGATTTCATTGGGTGAAACCATTGGTTTCCCCGCCCCCTGTCTCCAGTACAACACTGATCCGAGCCCAGCTTGTAGTCTGAGCTCTTCAGATGTATGGCCTTTGCACCCTCTCCCCAAACTGTCATCCTCGCATTTTCTTTCTTTCTCCCACTCCTCCTTTTTTTTGGTGTGTGTATATGTCATTACTAGGGATTTAACTCAGAGAACCTGGGCACTGTCTCTTAGCTTTTTTGCCCCCAAGGCTGGCGCTCTACTACTTGAGCCACAGCTCCACTTCCAACTTTTTTCGTGGTCAATTGGAGATGAGTCTCTCAGGTTTGTGTGCCAGGCTGAGTATAGCTAGGATTACAGACATAAGCCACGGCGCCTGGTAAAGCTCCATTTTATAAATACAAAAAAAGGAGCATTGCCGGGTGCTGGTGGCTTACACCTGTAATCTTGGCTACTCAGGAGGCTGAGATCTGAGGACTGTGGTTCAAAGCCAGCTCGGGAAGGAGAGTTTGTAAGACTCTTATCTCCAATAAACCACCAGAAAACTGGAAGTAGCACTGTGGCTCAAGTGGTAGAATGCTAGCCTTGAGCCAAAGAGCTCAGAGACAGCGCCCAGGCCCAGAGTTCAAGCCTGACAACCAGCAACAACAAAAAAGGAGTGTTTAAATGAAGTAACTGGCCCAAAGCCTGCAGGGAGAGTTGGTGATGAGTTCAAATTCAAATCACCTGGGTCAGGTAGGCAAGGTCGAGCTTCCAAAGGCCCTGCCTTGCTGGAAAAACTCAACGCCACCACTCAAGAGAGTGGAAAGGGGCCAGTGGTCCACACAACCAACTGTGATGTTTCTTCAGGTATGCCGGGTCACTCCAAAACATGAACTCTGCCAAGACAGCATTCTAACCTTCCCTGCCGCTCATTCAGGACCCATAGCAAGAAAACAGAACAGGGAAACCAAAATGCAAAATGCCCAAACACAAAATCTCCCATTTGACAGTTCCTTATCAGAATGGCTCCAGCTCTGGCCCAACCCCAGGCTCCTCACAGAAGACAGTGTCTCCCCAAGCAAGAGCTCATGCCAAACCTACAACACACAGCCCCACAGCCATGCGCTTGACAAAGAATGAAGCAACATGGCTTCTGCCTCTCTAGGGGGCGCCATTGAGCGTCATTGGAGTCCAACCAACTGGCTTTCCATGTTTTCTCAGGGCTCTTGGTTGGTTGGTTGGTTGGTTGGTTTGCCTAGACACTGGGGGAAGTGATACCTAGGTCACAGCTTTTCCGTGAGGATTAAATAAAAAAGCTCTCGTTAGATGCCCAGTACTTGGTAGGTCTCAATAAAAGGTAGTGGCTGTCACTATTCTAATTGTCACCTCCTGAGGTGAGCCATCATTCTGGCTGGGCTCCGAGACTCTCTGAGAAGATGTCCCCTAGCCCCACAAAGGGACCCCAGACCCTACAGGGCCACAAAGCAGAGGCAACTGAGAGATATTCGGAAGGACAGGTACAGTGACAGTTGAGACTCTCAATCCTTGGTGGCCAAAGGAAATTCCAGCCTGGCTCCTTGTTCTGAAGCTGCTTTTGCACACTACCCAATGCAATTTCTCACACCTGCCTATGGCCTGTGCGGGTACAGAAAACACTCTCCAGGGTCCCCTTGAGGAAGGTTCCATGGCCTTCACTATGCGGAAGGAGAAACCATGAAACAAAGGGACCAGATTTCTAATAAACAGCCACAATGGATACACCAAAATGAATTTATTTTCTTCAAAGGTGTCAAATAGCTAGAAGCTTGGGCACAAATTCGAGTCGCTCTGTGAATGTTCATCTCCAGAGTATTTTTTTTTGTAATTCTCAGAGCTAACATGCCCACTTCTTTTCAGAATAGATTTAAAATTTGCTAGAAATACCAAAAGATGATCAAAATGCCTGGTACTTATAAACTGATTTGTTGGAGGGTAAGCCTTTAGTACAACTACTGAAAGCTAATAAAAATGTAACACACACACACAGTATCTGAAACAAAGCCTGCAAAAATAAAATGGGTAGGCGTATTTGGGGATGAAAAATTAAAGAGATACTCAGAAAATATTGATTTACCTCTTTGATGTGTATGTGTGTGTGTGAGAGAGAGAGAGAGAGAGAAAGAGAGAGAGTAGCAGAGATCAAGCTAGCATTGAGGTGAGTAACAGCAGTGAAGTTCCGAACAAGCTTGAATAATAGAAACAGAAGTGGGGAGGGGAAGGGGGAATGCTTCATTCCAAAGCAAACATTTCGATAAGAACAAATGCCCATATACATATATGAGATGTGAGATGTGAGACATTTGTTTCAAAAGAATTTGATCTTGTGGCACTGTAGGCTTGCCTCATATTTCAATTATTCATATGGCTTTTGTTTAACAACTGCTGGTTTTAAAACAAGTCATGTTCTTTGCATGCCATAACCATTTGAATCCTTTCCTCCGTTCTTCCTTCCCTTCCTCTTTCACTACCTCCCTCCCTTTATTCTTTCCTTCCTCCTCCCTCACTCCTTTTCCTCCCTCCTTTTCCCCTCCCTTTCCCCTTCCTTCTTTCTCCTGTCCCTCCCTACCTTTTCCTTCCTTCCTTCCTTCTTTCCTTCCTTCCTTTGTTCCCTCCTTTCTTTTTCTTTCTTCTCTTCCCTGCTTTCTTCCCTCCTTATTTCCCTCCCTTCTTCCTTTTCCTCCTTTTCTCCCCCTTCCTTTTTCCCTCCCACCCTCCCTTTTTTCCACCTCTTCTTCCTTCCCTTGTAGGCCTATGTGGAAACCATCAGATTAAAAGACGATGAAGTACTCAAGGTGCAAACCAGAGAAGATGGCGATGTCTTTATGTGGTTGAAACATGAAGCCACCCGAGGCAACGCAGCAGCCCAGGTACAACGAGACCAAGATGTACAACAAAGCCTCCCAAATGCCAAAGCCTTCGAACACTTTCTGTGTATTTCTTCTTTATCCTATGGAAGTAATGGAGATGGGCAAGGGCTCTGCTCCTACAGCCCCTCGGGCCCAGGCTGACCAGGCTCCTCTACACCTGCTTTCAGAGTCATGGTAGAGTGGTGGCCCCTGCTCATCCATCAGTGAGCCACTACTGTACGGCCATTTCACTGGCCAAAGCATGTCACTGGAGCATAGTTGACTTCCACGTGGGCAGAGCATAGCCTTACCACCCACCCAGAGAGCGGCACAAGACTCCTGCTGGATTTTTCTTCTTTTGTATGCGTGTGCTGGTCCTGGGGCTTGGACCTAGGGTCTGGGTGCTGTCCTTGAGCTCTTGTGTTTAAGGCTAGCTCTCTACCACTTGAGCCACAGCTCTCCTTCCCACTTTTTTAGTAGTTTATTGGAGATAAGAGTCTCCTAACCTTACCTGACCTGGCTGGCTTTGAACTGTGATCCTCAAATCTCAGCTTCCCGAGTAGCTAGGATTACAGGCACCCACCTTCAGGCTTTAGAAGACAAATATGTCTAATTCTCTGTGTAAAGCGTTATATATCAGGTTTGTCCTCCCACTTTTTAAAGTCTTCTGTTGCATGCATGTGCACAGGAAGAATCACTGTTCTAAATTGCTATTGTCTTTAAGCAACGATTAGCCCAGATGCTATTCTGGGGGCAACAAGGTGTGGCCAAGAACCCGGAAGCAGCCATCGAGTGGTACGCCAAGGGGGCTCTGGAGACAGAGGATCCTGCATTAATATACGACTACGCCATTGTGTTATTCAAGGTAAGAATGATTTAATTGGGGCTGAACTTGTGTAATTTGGATAATAGACTTCCTGAGTCATTTCCAGTGGGTGTGCAGGCAAGCAGGGGGTCTGTCACAGAAGACATGTAGCACATGCTTCTGTCACTTACGATAGGGAAGGATGCTAGAAGACAAGACAGCCTGAAGCACTACTCTGGCTAGTCTAGTGGCTCATATCTGTAATCCCAGCTACAAGCAGGAGACTGAGATGGGTAAGACTGAGGTTCCAGGCCAGCCCAGAAACAAAGCTGATGAGGCCTCCATCTCAACAGAAGAGACTAGGCATGGTGGTGATGTGTGTGTCATCCAGATAAGCAGGAAGCATAACTAGGGGATTAAAAACTGAGCTAGCCCTGCCATCTACCTTTAAAAAAAAAAAGACCCCCATCTCAAAATAATCAGAGCAAGGGCTGCCTGCCCAGCATGCACAAAGGCTCAAGTTTGAACAAAAGAAGCCTTTTTTGGTTCCATTTTATTTTCTTTTTTGAGATACTAGGGCTTGAACTCAGGACCTCATACTTCCAAAGAAGGCACTCTATCACCTCCCATTTGCATTTTTTTTCCATCAACCTTCTGTGTGGCACCTAGAGTCTTTATGATTTCCCGAGCACTGTGGCCTTCTGACGCCCGTGTTTCGTTGGTTTGCACCCAGTGGCCACTCATCCCAGGGCAGCATAGTGACCACCAGACTTGCCACCGAATGCTCACCCAGGGAGAGGGCTTATTTGGGCCAGATTCCTATAGCCTGTGAATGGAAATGATCTTGGGTTTGAGCCAAGGGAACAGTAAGAAGGAGGAGCTGGCAAGAGCTGGGGACAGAGGACAGGGATGAAAACATCTCTATAGCAATCGTGGATGTCTTCAGAGACATGCGGTCTGAGGGGATGATGGTCATCATCTTGGATTGGATGAGAGAATATAACCAGTGTCCATTGAGGATTGTAAAATGTGTTTGCCTTACACAAAAGGTAGTCATCCACGCCGACTGAGGAGCCCTTGTTCCTTGCTTTCCATGAATAAATGCCTTGAACCTCCAGAGCCCCTTAGCCAAGTATTATCACCTATGGACCACATCATGGTCTATATAGAAACAGGCACAGAAAGGCCTTGTCACTTATCCAGCGTTGCCTAGCTGATCCCTTGGGACAGGGATCCAGGCAAAGCTTTACCATCTGTATTCTTCATCTTCGCCAATCTTTTTGTTTTTTTTCCTATAAGTTTCGGGGCTTGAACTCAGGGACTGGGTACTCCCTGAGTTCTTTTGCTCAAGGCTAGTGTTCTATCACTTTGAGGCACAGCGCCACTTCCAGTTTTCTGGTGATTAAGTAGAAATAAGAGTCTCATGGACTTTTTCCTGCTGGGGCTGACTTTGAAATGCAGTCCTCAGATCTCAGCCTCCTAAATAGCTAGGATTATAGGCGTGAGCTACCAACTGCTGGCATCTTTACCAGTCTTGTAAAGTGAAAAGCTTTAGCTGTGGGAAAGAAACCCTTAAACCTTATACCCATGCCCAAGAGTGCAGCTGCCCCCAGAAGTGTGTGTCTTTGAGCAATGATGACCTATATTCACGCAGGCAGGCCTGTGTCCAGAATCCTAGCTAGGGCCACTCATTAATCAACAACCAAGAGTCTAGAGACATTTCTACCTGAACACCCCGTTGAAGCCTGAAAACCTATTGGTTGTTATGGTTTCCAAATTAAGAGGCTAAACCTTGTCTTCCAAAGCATCGAATCAGCATAGAAATTTCTGAATTTTTGCCATATGCCAGTGCATCCATGTATTTATTCAGTAAACATCCACTCCAGGTGGAAAAATGCTAAGATGGAGGGACTTACACATGCGTGAGTCAGATCCTTGGCCTCGGGGATTCATACGCTGGAGAAGAAGACAGCAGATAGGGGTGGCACAGAGCAAGACATCATCCACCAGACTTGAGGCTGTTAACTGTGCCAAGTATGAAGATAAAGGCATAAACCAGCCTTGGGCTGATTGATGCTAGTGGCTCACACCTGTAATCCTAGCTACTCAGGAAGCTGAGATCTGAAAATCTCAGTTCAAAGTCAACCCAGGCAGGAAAGTCTGTGAGACTCTTATCTTTATTGAACTACCAAAATGCAGAAGTGGAGCTGTGGCTCAAGTGGTAGAGTGCTAGCCTTGAATGAAATAGCTCCTAGGCCCTGAGTTCAAGCCTCAATACTGGCAAACAATAAATACAGTAAAATCAAGCCTTAAATCTGCCTACCAAGAGCTTCAAGACTAGAGGGAGAGGCAAATGCATAAGTAAATGACTCTGCAGGCTACATGTCTCTTCAGGATCTCATTTTCCATACCTTAATGTTTCCTCTTGTTCTGCATTCTGGAGTACCCAGTTATTTCTGGGTGGGGGAAAGGAAGTCCTTTATTATTGGTATCTCAGGGAAACATTTCACCTCTGGCCAGGTGGTCTTTCTAAGTGCATTCCATGGGAAAGAACCCCCAAATGGAAAAACAGGCTTTCCAAATGTAAAGGAGGAGGGCATGCATTTGGCTGTGGAGACACCCTAAAACATATTGTGTGCAAAGATGGTGGTAGGATAGTGGCCCTGGGTTGTCCAAGGCAGTCACATACATCCCATCTTTCATCCACGTGACAATTAAGTGACTTTGTAGCAACTGACCTCCCTCACCTGCACTTGGCATTTATCTCCTTTGACAGCTTCTGATTCTCCTCATAGCCAGGGAGAGTGTACATTGCGTTTGTGTACGAAGTCCTCTCAGGAAGCTAGCAGGTATACTGAGCAACTACCCGGCAGGCACACAGGAAGCTGCCCTTGCCTGGAAATGGGAATATATAAATGCGGCTTAATTGTGAGGCTTGACATAAACCACTTTCTCTGGATCCATTTTATTCCTTCAAAACATGGAGGAGACAAAGGGCGAGTCTAACCCAGGTCTGACATTCTATGAGTCCAGTCCTAGCCAGCCAAAAAAAAAAAAACCACCAAAAAACCACTTCATTTCTTGTCCAGTTTTTCCATGTTCTCTTCCCTCTAATTAGAAGAAGTAATGATGCGCTTCTGAAAAATATCTTCATCATCCCCTTGGCTTTGATTTGCCAGTTTGATTTAACTGGAAAGTTATAAAAACTTAGTAGAAACTTGCTACATGTAAGTTAACCTTTAATTCGAATCATAAATACAGTGTCAGGCAAGCTGTATTTCTCCTTCATCCTGAGGGAGGTATGAGTCACTGTGCTTTCTCAGCAGTGGGAAAGTGTACCTTACATGCCTGCCTGAGTCCACTTGGCTGAGTTTAAATTTGCCTCCAGTTCTCCCACAGTGAGAGACTCTGGGATGGGAGTTGTAAACCACCCTGGAGGTGTGATATCATGATTAGACATGACAGGACCATGTGTGACCCATACTTAAATAAATAAATATATATATATACATACATACATATAGTTATTACAAAGGTGATGTATAGAGGGATTACAGTTACATAAGTCAGGTAAAAAGTTACATTTTTGTTGGACAGTTTGTGTGACCCATATTTATTAATTAACATAGGAATCTAGATGGGGGAAAAAAGAAGTTCTAGATGAGTCTGGACCTGCAGCTGTTTCCAGCTGGCTCCCTTTACCTGGCATCTTTGCCATCACATTTGGTTCAAAAAGGCCTTGGGGTTCCCCGCCCCATTCCTCTCAGGCCTTCCATTTCCCTACAAACTCCTTCAACACCCAAGTCCACAGAATTTCTTTCTTGCAATAAGCATGCCAAAGATTGTTTCTGTCTGTGAAGGACAAACCACTGCTTGTGGAAAATCCTAACTTTTCTGGAAGAAGCTTGTTAGTTGCCTGTGACTCAGCCTGATTCATGGGGGTCCTATTGTCTTCATAGCAGGTTCTGGAGCTGGTTTTGAAGCCACAAATGTTACATTCTGGGGCCTTAGCCAGGATAAGGAAGGGTGCAGGTAACAGCCTAATAATTCCTGACCATCTAGCAGAGATTAAGTTCTTTATGGCTGGCCAATCAGACAGTACTTTCAGAGGAAAGCATTCAGGATGACCAAACACATTCACCAATTCTTGGCTTCTCCCCACACAACCAGAGAAGTGATCAGTAGGGGACCTTGCCTCACTGCTGAGCTGGAGATAGAGGTTTGTGGCCTGGGGGCTATGAGTTGGAGCAAAATGAGGATGACCAAGGAGATGTGATGGAATGTGCTAGGTATAGATGCATGTAAGATAAAATGTGGAACTAAAAAGATTCAGGTTGGAGTTGTGCTTTCTACTGCATACCAGTATGTCTGTGGTGGTCCTGGGGATGCTCGGAGGTTATTTCCCCCCTAATCATGTCTATTTATCACTGTTTAGGGTCAAGGAGTACAAAAGAACAGACGGCTTGCCTTAGAGCTGATGAAGAAAGCAGCCTCCAAGGTAACGCATGCGCAAGGTCAGCAGACACGGGTCCCCCACAGCCCCACACGCTCACAAGTCTGGGTGATGAAATAGCCAGCCACTTCCACGGGGCCTAGGTGGGAACGGGGTGGGGAGGGGCTGGCCGGCTCCCTGATAGGTTGTTTTTTGAGTTACAGCACACACATTGGGATTAGCAACATTCAAAAGCTAAATTCACCTTCCCGTCAATATAATTCAGGCTGATTTTGTTTGAAGGCTGAAATTATCATCATGAGCCACCCTGATAACAAGCAGCAGGGCTCCTTGAAATTGAATGGTACAAATGCCATTGAATTAGGGAGACCCAAAGTCTTAATTTTTTGAAAAGTTAACCCTCTCCTGTCCAATTCGCATTTGCTTCTTGCGCTTTGATGCTGAGCTGTTTACTAAGGTCATTACCAGCTTTGGGAATTATTTTGCCAAGTTAACACTAGTTAACGCTTCCATCATGTCTTCAAGTCAGCAAGTTTCTACATAAAGATATAGAATAGAGGTTCTTATAGCACTTGAGAGAGGTGTGTATTTGTGGGTGCATGTGTGCACATATATACCTCATGCAAGCACATACAAACCCAATGCATGTACAGCATGTACTTTCATGTGCTCCATACATTTATCTGCATACAGATTTGCAAGCACATAGATTTGCAGAAACCACTGATTCTATACTTTGACAAGGCAACGTTATAACTCTTGAGTCCTGGCAGTGCCTCTGTTCCAGGGCTGCTGATACTAGCTTGACTCATTAGGACTCAGTAGCTGTGCTGATTTTTCTTCCCCATTCTTCTTGAGATGCTCAGACTGCCCTGTTCCAGGAAGTGGGACCAGGGAGGGAAAAACTCAAGAGGCATCTCTCTAGCCAGGGGCTGTGAAGAGGGAACATGATCCAGAAAGAGGGACCTTGCTGATGTGCACACCTACTTCTGACCCAACCCCAGTAACAGAACAGGAATTAAAAAGCAAACCAACAAACCAATGGTGGTCTATGAGAGCACAGTGCCCAAAGCATCCAGAGGGGCTTCCAGTGGGGCATCCAGAGGGTTCCCCAGCAGGTGAAATGGGCATCTCTTTAGTGCCCCCTAGTGGTAATTGCACATCTAGGTGCTTCACTTTGAGTGTCTCCCCCCCCCCAACCCCTCCAATACCCACCACCTCACCAGAGCTTACACAAGGATTGGAGAAATGAAGTCTTGTGCCCTGGAGTCTTAATGTCTTTGAAGTGTGATTCTTATTTACCCACTCAGCCTAATCTTTGTCAGGCACTGTGGTGAAAGATGCATAGAGCTTGATTTTGGGAATTAGAAGTTACACTCAGGCAGATCTACTGATGTACCTGGGTAAATGGTTCAGAGTGAAGTCTGAGTACTAAGCAATAAGGCAAGATTTCTTATGGGCTCAGAAACTGCAATATTGGGAGAAGCAGTTCTGTAGAGATTTTAGCCAAACGCAAGTACATCTTCATCAGAACATGGCCTCTCCAGATGAGCACAAAAGCCATTTGATGAGCTCCCTCTGTAGGCATGTCCAAAGCAGGTTCCAGCCACTTTAGGGTATGACCTTGTCAATTCATCCAGTAACATGCAGTCTGTAGTCCTTGCTGAGAGCTTACCTTCCCTGGGCTCAAGAAGGATGCATGTAGCCCCAGCATCCTAGCCACTCAGGAGGCTGATATCTGAGAATCTTGGTTTGAAGCCAGTCCAAGCAGGAAGTCCATGAGACTCTTATCTCTAATTAATCAGCAAAAAGCTGGAAGTACATTTGATCGTATTATTGAAATGAACTTCAGGAAATGGAAACAAGAGGTTTTTCTTTGTTGCTGGTAAGGGAATAAAAAAGCTGAAATTGGAGGGTTAGCTCCAATGGTAAAGCCCTAGCCTTGAGCAAAACAAACAAACAAACAAAAACACCTCAAAGACAGGCCCTGAATTCAAGCCCAAGCCCAGCACACACAAGAAGAAGGAGACATGAATGCTTGTGTCCACAGCATTGGCGCTCCCTGAGTGTCACTCTCAGGCTGAATATCTCGGTAGCCTGGGGATGGCAGCTCTACTCTCAACCCTGGAGATGTAGGATGTGGAGTCCCTTTGGTTTTGTATCAATAGTTAAAGCATGACTTTTATTTTTTGACACAGTATTTGCTGAGTAGCTACTCTATACATGGGATAAAAATCAAGATGTTAGGGACAGGGAATGTGGCTTAATGGTAGAGTGCTTGCCTAGCATGCATGAACCCCTGGGTTCAATTCCTCAGTATCACATACACAGAAAAAGCTGGAAGTGGTGCTGTGGCTCAAGTGGTAGAGTGGTAGCCTTGAGCAAAAGAAGCTCAGGAATACTGCCCAGACTGAGTTCAAGCCCCAGGACTGCCCCCCCCCCAAAAAAAATCAAGATGCTAGCTGGTCGCTGGGTGGCTCACGCCTGTACTCCTAGCTCCTCAGGAGGCTGAGATCTGAAGGTCGCAGTTCAAAGCCAGCCAGGGCAGGAAAGTCCATGAAACTTAATTAACCACCAGAAAATTGGAAGTAGAGTTGTGTTGTAGTAGAGCACTAGCCTTGAACAAAAAGGACTCAGGGGCAGTGCCTAGGCTTTGAGTTGGAGCCCCATGACCAACAACAACAACAACAAAAAGAGACACAAGGCTAGTGTAACATGAAGGAACACTTCCTTTGATCAGCTCCAGATTCCTATGAAAGCCTTCTTTCCTTCTCCACCCTCCCCTTCTGCCTCAGCCCCTTCCGGACTCTGAACCCCTTGAGAGCTGGCGACAAGCCGTACTGAGCTCTGCAAGTGGGTCATCAGTGCTGCTTCCCTAGCAGGGCTTGATGGCGTTCAGGCAGACCGAAGGATCCAATGGGCAGCCGCTCACCTTGAAACCGTGCCGCAAGGGCAGGTTCAGGCCACCTGCACAGTGCAGGGCTCCTGAGTTTCACGGGCACTGTGGATCCTTAGGGTGAGGAGAGGCATTTGTAGCTCTGCATGACGATTTAGAAGCCCATGTCATTGCTGAGCTGGGAGGCAGAAATCCCAGCAAGCAGCCGGCAAACCCCACCAGGGCAGTCTCCTTGACGGGCTCATGTTTCTCACACTTAGATTGTCTTTAGTGCCATCTGTCACCCCGCCTCCCCCCCCACCCCGCCCCCTCCATCCACCCAGTCTCCCAAGAAAGGGAAGGTTCTGCTCAGGCTCAAGCAGAATCCACAGCAACGGCTTCCAGATCTCTTTAGATTTCATTTAAAACAAACAAAATAAGAATCATTGTTTCTTTCTTGTTTTAAAATTCAGGGGTTGCACCAGGCAGTCAATGGCCTGGGATGGTATTACCACAAATTCAAGAAAAATTATGCCAGAGCAGCAAAGTACTGGTTAAAAGCAGAAGAAATGGGGAACCCTGATGCATCCTACAATCTGGGGGTCCTATATTTAGACGGCATTTTCCCAGGAGTTCCTGGAAGGAATCTGGTAAGTGAGCTGAGACCAACCGGAGGATGTCGTCATCCAATCATGAGAGCTTGTGGAAGGTGCCTTGTGTGCCAGCCTGAACTATATACCAGAGAGGATCAAGGCATGAGGATGTGGTCTGCCTTCACCGAGCTCAGGATCCAATATGGGGCCAGGAGGGTAAAGAACAAAGGATGCATTTCTCCAGGTGCCGAGACATAGAGGCACCATGCAAACAGATCTAGAGAGGAAAATTGGGAAAGGCCAGCGCAACCAGGAGGGCTGTGTGGAGGAGGCTGAGGCGTGAGCTAGGAGAGGGCAGGCAAGTGAGGCAGGTGGGAATGAGTGAGACATGACCACCACACCGGTCTCACTAGCAGTGCAAGAGTGGGTGCAGCTGGGGTTGCCTAGGGTTCCCTTGTGCCACAATACTGAAGCAGAAGTGCAGTGGGTCTTTGGTGTTGTGTGTGCCCTGCACCTCACACAACAAGCAGCTCACATCATACTATGACAATGCCCATGCACCACACAGTGACAGAGTCTATCTGTGAGCAGATAGGTAACTGCATCCTACACTAGGCCGAGTCAGCATTGGAATCCCAGGGGAATGGGACCCTCTCTATCCAGAAGCAGCCGGTGAACAGCCACCCCTGCCAGGCACTGGTCTGTACAGGGCCACAACAGCAGGCCAAACAGCCCTACTCTGGGCCAGCTTCCATGCCCCTTTGGGGGACAAAGACAATCACAGATAGCTGATATGAGGGGAGGCGGGGGTTAAAGCAGCACACTGGGCGGGAGAGGTGGAGAGATGCTATTTCACAAGGGGAGATGGGGAAGTTGCCTCTCATGAGGTGAAGTGACATTGTGCAGGCTCCAGGAGTCTCCTGGTCACATGGAAGAACATTCCAGTGGGAGGTGGCAGATGGGGCAAAGGCCCTACAAAAGGAGGCAGGCTCTGTGAACTAGAAGTAGGAGCAGTCAGCGGGCTGATGGGAGATGAGGCTGAGGAGGTGGATCACCATCTCACCTTGACACCCAGCTTTGCCGGGAAGTGCACACACTCCTGCAGCAGGCGTGTGCTGAGTGTAGAAGGAAGTTTGGAGAGAGTCATTAACATGCCAGAGGCCACATGGCTCGTCCACCGAGCCAGAACCTCGAACCTAACTGCCTGCAAAGCACAATGCTTCCAAAAAGAACAGTTCATGGCGGGCACCAGTGACTCACGCCTCTAATCCTCGCTACTTGAGAGCCTGAAGTCTAAGGATTTTGATTCATTGTTGAATTCTGTTGCCTTGTATTTTATTAAGAACTTTTGCATCTATGTTCATCAGCTGATGGGTCTATGGTTTTCTTTCTTTATTGGGTCCCTGCCTGGGTTGGGGACAGGTGTAATACTGGCTTCATAAAATGTATTTGGTAGTGATCCTTATATCTCATGGAAGAGCTTGAGGAGTATTGGTGCTAGTTTTACTTTAAGGGTTTTGAAGAATTCAGCTGTGAATCTATCAGGACCTAGACTTTTCCTTGATGGAAGACTCTACTACTTCCTTGATCTCATTGCTTCTTATGGGTCAGGATCACATTTCGAAGCCAACCCAGACAGGAAAGTCCATGAGACACTTATCTCCAATTAACCACCAAAAGACTGGAAGTAGAACTGTGGCTCAAATGGTTGAACCTCAGCTGTGAGTGAAAAAGATAAGGGAAAACTCCTAGTCCTGAATTCAAACCCTAGTACAGACACACAAAAGTCCTGCATGCACATGCGCACAGGTACATGTACACACACAAAGCAGTTCACTGCTCTGTAAATGATGGAAATTCATTATTTTCATTGCCAATGTAAGTGTTTGTTTTCTGTATTTCCCTCCACCTCTCTGATTACCCACAAGGCTGATATTTTTAGGCATTGAAAATGTCTGGTAACCCTCCCACACATCTGGGAGCATGGATTTATTTTATTGTCATATTCTAATTCTCACCTGCCTACTGGAAATGCAGTTTTTGTGCATGAGTTTAGAGAGGTATTAAGCAAGGTTAAAAAGCCAATGCCTGAGTTTTCACCCAGCATAACCTGTGACGTTGTCTCGGGTCTAGCGCTCAGGGGTGGCGATAGAACAAGATGTCACTGGTGCTCTGTGATTTCAGGGTGTCTTATGTATGGAGTCAATTTAATCAGCACAGTAGCTTTTGGCCAGGTCATATGTCCCTGGCTTTGGTGATGAGCTGTCTTCCTGGAACTGTTGCTTGTCCTGGTTTTCTGACAAGTGTCAGAAGTCACAAGCCCTGGTAAATGTGGGCCTTAAAATCCTCCCCGCCCTGGCTCTGGTGGTGGAAGCGCTGGGCCTGGGTGCCACCACTGACAGCCTTGTTTGGTCTTCTCTTCACAGACCTTAGCCGGGGAATATTTCCACAAGGCTGCCCAGGGGGGACACATCGAGGGGACCCTGTGGTGTTCCCTCTACTTCATCACTGGCAACCTGGAGACCTTCCCTAGAGATCCGGAGAAAGCTGTCGTGTAAGAATGACCAATGTTGCCTGGGATGGGAAAGCCATGTCCTCTTATGCCACCTGAGAAAGGGGGGCTTCCCTCTTCCTCGCTCCCTCCCTCCCTCCCTCCGTCCCTCCTTCCTGCCTTCCCTCCCACCAGCCTCTTTCTTCTTCCCTCCCTCCCTTTTTTTCCCTCCCTCCTATACTTTGCTTCCTCTCTCCCTTTCTCCCTCCTTCTTCTCCCTCCCTACCTCCTTTCCCTCCCTCCTTTCTGCCTCTCCTCCTTCCCTCCCTCCCTCTTTCTATCCTCTTTCTCCCTTCTTTCCTTCTTCCATCCCTCCCTCCTTTCTGCCTTCCTTCTCTCCCTTGCTCTCTCCTTCTATCCATCTTGCTTCTTTCCGCTCCCCTCTCCCTCCCTTCCTTGCTCCTTCCTCTGTCCTTTTCTCCTTCTCTTCCTTCCTTCACTCCCTCCTTTCTTCCTTTCCTCTCTTCTTCCTCCCTCTCTCCCCACTTTCCATCTTTCTTCCTCCCTTCCTCCCCATTGCCCTCTCTCTCTTCTCCTCTATCGCTTCCTTTTCCCTCCCTCTTGCCTTCTTCCTTTGCATTTTTAAAACTAGGTTTCTTCTTTTATCACTTATATATGTATTTAGTTCAGAGAGCCCAATCATTGACAAGGCAATTTTTAGTCTTTTTAAATTAAAAATTAACTAAGTCATCAAGGAAAACAGGCAATCCCTGCCTTCCAACCCTCCCACCGCACCCCACCCCCACTTTCTGCTCCTGGAATAAATCACTTCCAATCTTCTCACTGTTTGTCTTCCTGTCTCATGTTCATGCCACTGTCTTTGGTGGTGGTGTCATAGGCCTTGTCCAGTGATGCCCTGGGAAAGCCCCGCTGTGGTTCTTTTCCTCTGCCATCTTCTCTACCAGCAACTGACGCTCTCTGCATGCTTCCATCTTCCCAAGAAAATTACCTGGTGTCAGGGTTGACATTGTCAAGGCCATGTGACTGCCACGTGGAGCAGAGCCACGTTGCAAACGATGCGTTGCTTTCCTATCTTAGGCGATGTATTCTTTCTACGAGACAACAATCATAGTTATCCTCTATTTGCTTAGCCCTCTCTTTATATATATTTTAATCTTTTTTTCTCTACCCTTTGATATCTCCAAATTCTCCTCCACCTAAATCTCCTCTTGATATAGCCAGAACCATTTGGTATTCTTTTTGTTGTTGTTGTTCGTTGTGGGGCTTGAACTTTGGGCCTGGGTGCTGTCCCTCAGCTCTTCAGCTCAAGGCGAGTACTTCACTGCTTGAGCCACAGCGCCACTTCTGGTTTTCTGGTGATTTATTGGAGATAAGAGTCTCATGGAGTTTCCTGCGAGGGCTGTCTTTGAACTTAGATCCTCAGATCTCAACCTCCTGAGAAGCTAGGATTACAGGTGTGAGCCACCAATGCCCGGCTACCACTTGGTATTCTTGAACCTTCTTGGTAGAATCTCTCAGGACAGTGCTATGACCGGAGGCTGATTTGGACACCAGCGTGCAGGTTCTCTTTTCCTCCATCTACCTGTTTTGGAGAGACTTCTTTGGCCTTCTTTGCTGGACCCCTTTCTTCCTCTTTCCTGGCTTACATCCAGGTTTTTGCCCAGCCTATCAAGTAATTTCTTGAAGAATGGCCACCAGGAGGCACATTTTTGAGGTCTTGCCTCTGAAAATGTTTTCTTGGGTTGGCAAACCTTGACCCACAGATAAAATGTGAATCAGGCCTGTTGTGGGTAGCACCAAGTGCTAAGCATTCCTTCTTTGAAGAGGAAGAGGAAGAGGAGGAGGAGGAAGAACAGTAACAAGACCACTTGTGGCCACACAGGAAAATATTTTCCATCTTGCCCTTAACAGAAAAACCCCATTACCTAGCTGTCTTGCAGGCTACCTCCTAGCTACACATTGGTTCTCCAAAGTGTTTGTTTTTTTTCTTTCCTCATGAGATGTGTAGCATCAACCCATTCTGACTTGAACATGGTAATCTAACTAACTAACCCTGGCTTGAAGGCTTTTATCAGTCATGTGGCAGAACTGGTGTGAATCTTCTTGTTTTGGAGATTTTCCTGTTGTTTGTCCTTTACTGTTGATTGCTGGCTTAGTTCTAATATGCTCAGAGAACATATTCTGAATGGTGGCAACCTTTTGAAATTTATGGAGAACTACTCCATGATCAGAATGCAGTCACTTTTGATAAATACTTTCTGGTCCATTTTGTGAACTTGATGAATTCAATGTCAGTGTATTCATCAGTTATCTCAAGTTCATTAATTATATGGCTCAGACCTACATCCTTTCCGATTTGTCTTTTGTCTATTTACTGTATTAGTTATGAACAGAAATGTGTTAAAATTCCCCATTGTGCTTATAGATTTATTCGTCTCTCTTTTCAATTCTGTCAGTTTTGCATTGTGTATCTTGAATTTATGACATAGAGTCACACAGATTGATTTTTTTTTACCTTTGAGTTGATACTTTTATCAGCTTAGAGTTTATCTCCATAGATGCTTCTCACCTTAGCCTCTGTTTTCTGATGCTCATTCAATAATACCATTTTATTGTCAGAGGATATATATCTTTTTCCCCCATCCTTTTGCTTTGAATATTTTTGTTCCTTAATTTTAATGCATATCTCTTATAAGTCACATATAACTAGGATTATGTACATTACTTACTCAATTTGGCACTTTTAGTTTGTAGCAGTTACATTTACTCTGTCTACATTTAATGTAGTCATAAATATATTGTTTCATCTGTTTTGTTTGTGCCTTGTCTTGCCCTTCATTTGTATTAATCAAGTTTTTTGTTATTGTTTTTTTTTGAAGGGGGGTTCTTTTGGTTTTTTTGTTTTGTTTTGTGTTTGCTAGTACTGGGGTTGAATTCCGGGCCTTGGCTCTCCTTTGCCTTTTTCAAAACTCAAGGCTAGTGTTCTTTCACTAGAACAACACCTCCACCTCCAGCTTTTTTTTTTTTTAGTTGGTCATGGGGCTTGAACTCTGGGCCCAGGTTCTGTCCCTGAACTCTTCAGCTACAGGCTAGTGCTCTACCACAGCACTGCTTCCTGTTTTCTAGTGGTTAATTGGAGGTAAGAGTCTCATGGACTTGCCCAGGCTGGTTTTGAACCAAGATCCTGAGATCTCAGCCTCCTGAGTAGTTGGGTTACAGGCATGAGCTACCAGTGCCCGGCCACTTCCAGCTTTTTGCTGGTTACTTCAAGATTGGAGTCTCATGGACTTTCCTGCACAGGCTGGCTTTGAATTGTGTTCCTCAGGTCTCAGCTTCCTGAAGGGCTAGCCACCAGTGCCCAGCTTTAGTTAAGATTTTCCTTAAGACTATTTCTCCCTTTTACTTCTTTTTTTTTTTTTTTTTGTCGGTCGTGGGGCTTGAACTCTGGGCCTGGGCGCTGTCCCTCAGCTCTTCAGCTCAAGGCGAGCGCTCTACCACTTGAGCTACAGCGCCACTTCCGGTTTTCTGGTGGTTTATTGGAGATAGGAGTCTCACGGTCTCTCCTGCCCAGGCTGGCTTTGAACCGCGATCCTCAGATCTCAGCCTCCTGAGTAGCTAGGATTACAGGCGTGAGCCACCAGCGCCCGGCATCCCTTTTACTTCTTGATCTGTGTTCTTACACTAGTCTTTTTTTTCTTTTTAAGTCTAAAGATTATATTACCATTTCATGAAGCCCCACATTAGGAGACAGACAAAAAACAGAAATCATATGATAAATTAGTAAATATATTTTACTTATTTTAATTTATATTTTGTGGCACCTAGGACCTCACCCCTGAAAGTCAAGTACTCTTCCACGGAGCTACACTACTAGGCTCAATAAATATAGAACTCTTGGTGGAGATTATTTTCTCCGTGGCAATAGAGACTTTTCATTATGTATGTCGCATGTCTTTGTTTCCATTGAACACCATGCTAAGCATTCGTAAGTAAGGCCGCTAAGTGCAAAGCCTTCAGAGTGCATTTGCTTTAACTTCTTCACATTCAGTTCCGCCTTGTTGCTTTGTAAAAATTCTAACAAGCAAAATATTCCCCAAATGGGATTTATCGAGATCATATGAAGAAAAAAATGATTATTTAATTTGCCACAATTTGCTTATTTTTCCGTTCCCTTTCCTTTTCAGATGGGCAAAGCACGTAGCTGAGAAAAATGGCTACTTGGGCCACGTCATTCGCAAAGGCCTTAACGCCTACCTGGAGGGATCCTGGTAAGCTTGGGTTCCATGTTAGAGCCAGCTTTCTTGCCCCTTACCTTTTGGTCTATCAGTAGAGGCTTCGGAAAGGGAATGTGTTAAAATGCAACTGAAAAAGTAATTTGCAGGGAAATCAGAGCTTCTCAGTAATGCTATTCAGAGCATCACAGACTGATTGGCTGTTGATTGGAAAACATGGCATTTCCATGTTTAATTATACACAAAAATTAGTTCTCTAGGCCGAGTGTCCACAGCCATCAAGTTGCGGCATACACACACAAATACATTGATCCTTCCGCTCCTTCCTCTTGGTTTTAGAACTGGGGACCACATGAGAGGTGAGAGCCTCTGCCTTTCCTTGAAGTCCAGTATCTTCCCTTCTTGGGAATAAGGATCAGTATGCTTAAGGCTGACTCTGGGTACCTCTTTTCATAGATGGTTTACTGTGTTTGTCATGACCGAGAGTCTAGAGTCTAGAAGTGACTTGCTAGAAGTCACTTGCCAGTCTCCTGTGTTAAAACCAAATGATGTCCCCTTCTTAATCTACTCTGTGTGTGTGTGTGTGTGTGTGTGTGAGAGAGAGAGAGAGAGAGAGAGAGAGAGAGAGAGAGAGAAAGAGAGAGAGAGAGAGAGAGAGAGTGTGTGTGTGTGTGTGTGTTCTGAGGCTTGAGCTCAGGGCCTGGATGTATTCCCTGAGCTTTTTGCACAAGGCTAGTGCCACAGCCCCACTTCTGGATTTTTGGTGGCTAATTGGAGATAAACTCCACATAGGCTTTCCTGCCTAGGCAATCTTTGAACTGAGATCCTCAGATCTCAGCTTCCTAAGTAGCAAGGATTACAGGTGTGGACCACCAGCACCCAGCTTGACCTTCTCTTAAAACTGATGTGTCCCATCTTGTCCTGTAAGAAATTTGAACTCTCTCTCTCTCTCTACACATACACACACACACACACACACACACACACACACACACACACACACACACACACGACTTACAGAGTCCATATTGTGCAGAGTGGTTTGCACATGAGCAGTCACCTCTTCAAACACTACCTGGCTGCTTTTTCTGGTCTTGTCAGGGCTGGTGCTCCTCCTTCGTGTCCCCTCGGGCCACATTTGCTTGGCTGTTTTATTGCCCAAATGATCTGGGTATTTCCATTCTCACTAAAATGGATATGCAAATCAGCAAGTATGCCTTCAGTCCACCCCTCCAGGACATAAGAGCAGGCCGGGTGTGAATCACACCTTGATCTGAACTTTAATTAAAAATAAAAATACAGATCTGAAAGAACGTTATTGTCCCTTTTGGCTCATCACTGACACACAAATCCACAGATACCATCTTGGCAAGCAAGAATCGTACATTAGAGCACGTGGGAGAAATGAGCCCAGTGAAAAAGGCATGGAATACAGAGTGTGTGTTGTTGAAAGTTTATTGTCTGTGGCCTTACTTTGCACAATCGGAAAGAAATTACCTTAAATGAAACTGCTGCTTTCCAACTATAAGTATACCTTTCCATTTTTGTGGGATGTCATCTTGTTTCCTGAGTGAATCTCATAAAACTCAAATCTGGAGCTGAGCGTGGTGATGCATGACTGTAATCCTACAATCTGGGAGGTTGAAGTAGGAGGACTCATGTTCAGAGCCAGCCTAGGCTTCACTGTGAGACTTGTTTCTGTGAGTGTGTGTGTGAGCGCACGCGTGTACGTGCATGTACTGGGGCTTAAACTCAAGGCCTACATTCCCCTTATTTTTTAAAAATATAATTTTATTGTTATTACTAAGATGCTGTAAAGGTGTACAGAGCCCTTATCTATTTTTTCTAGAGGCTGGTGTTACCACTTGAACCACAAGCTCCATTTCTCACTTTTTGCTGGTTAACTGAAGGTATGAGTCACACAGACTTTCCTACCTGGGCTGGCTTTAAATCTCAATCCTCAGATCTCAGCCTCCTGAGTAGCCAGGATTACAGGCATGAGCCACCAGTGCTTGGCTGTGTCTCTGTTTCCAACCAAACAAAAAATAAGCAAAACCATCTCTCAAATCCAACTTGAGCACTCTCTCTCTCTCTCTCTCTCTCTCTCTCTCTCTCTCTCTCTCATTCTCTCTCTTGTGTGTATGTGGTGCACATATACATTCTCTGTTCCCCCAAAGCTTCTCAGGTTGAAATCAATGTTCTAATTTCAAAGCATTTCTGTGCATAGCATATCTACACACACACACACACACACACACACACACACACACACACACACCCTGAAATGATACAGTTTTCCCCATAAAGAGAATGTTTGCTCATAGCTAAGCTTTCTTGCCTACTTTTCAATTTAACCTCACAGTGCGCGTGAGCTAACGCGTGTAAATCTATACCACGGAAAGTTAGGTGAATTAAAATGTCTTGTTTCCTTTCTCAGAGCTCTGAGATTCAACATGGGATTCCCCTCCCTGTTTGGGGTAGCAGGGAAGGAGAAGTGTACTTTGCACTGTGTGTGTGTGTGTGTGTGTGTGTGTGTGTGTGTGTGTGTGTGTGTGTGTGTGTGTGTGTTTATTCCAGTTAGCAGATTCAAATGCAGGCGTCCTGACACACACCACAGGGGACCTTTGCTGCCCCGCCCTTCCACATGCATTTTCTCACATGCTCCATGTCCAGCTGGCCTCAGGGCCCTAGCACCTGCTGTTTCCTCTACCCCAGGAATCCCACCTTACTCCTTACTCCTTCTGACCTCCCATGTGAATCTTGGCTGGTCTATCTCATGGCTTGTATCCTGGTACTTGGCAAAAAGTCAGAGCAACCATAACTCTGGGGCCATGATCAATGTACAAAGAACTTGTGGGATTGGAGGAGAAAGGCTGCTGTCTGTCTGTCACTCCTGTGAGCCTTAATGGCAGAGGTGTAGGTAGTATGGCCTTGGAGGATGGATGGGATTTCCCCTTAGCCATGCAAGGAACAACATTTACTCTAAAGGGACATTGAGGGACAAAAGCAGAAATAAGTTTGGGGTAAGTCTGGAAGTGGGGGGGTGAAGGCTTGAACTCAGGGACTATAAACACTGTTCCCTTAGCTTTTATGCACAAGGCAGGCTCTCTACCACTTGAACTGCAGCTCCATTTTTGGCCTTTGGGTGGTTAATTGGAGATAAGAGTCTCATGGACTTTCCTGGTTTCAAACCTCCATCTTCAGACTGCAGCCTTCTGAGTAGCTAGGATTACAGATGTGAGCCCTGGCACATACCTCTATGTCTGGAAACTTTAAAGTCATTTAATTTCTATGAGAATTAAGTATAGAAATATATGTGTGTGTGTGTATATGTATGCCAAAGAAATATTCTCATATGGAACTTGGAATAGCAGATTATACACTTTTTACTTTATCTTAAGTAGTCAAGCAAGAAGCTGAAGTGGGGCCGGTTTGAGATCTAGGTAAAAGGAAGCCAGCATTTGCTCTGAAGATGTGGCTTGAACCAGTTAAGTAGCTTTTCTTTGTTTATTGCATAGTGATACACATGAAATCATAGGCAATGCATTTGTAAGTTCCAAAGCATAAGAATAAAATGAATGCCTGTAAACCATCCATCCTACTTGAGAAAATAATACTACCAGTACCAGCTACTCCTTCCCAACTTGTGTCTGTCACAGATTAAATTCCCCTCCCCAGAAATAACCATCACTGAATTTTCTGGTCCTTTTCTCATTTTCCTTATACATTCTGCAACCTATCCATATATTCCTATGCAACGGATTGACATGGGCTTATGTCTGACCTTTATGTTATTAAAATCATATGTCATTCTTCCACTTCTTTTTAAACTTAGTCTATTTTTAAGATTCCTACACTTTGATACCTGCAGCTTGCTTCCATGTATTACAATTTATTTACATGCTTATTTATGAATTTTCATGTAAACACTAACTTGCACGGTTTCCTCTTACTCTTAAGGACTATATGGTCATGAACATTTTTCTGTGTATCTCCTGGCATATGAGGAAGATTTGCTGTAGAATATAAACTTGGGCTGGGAATCAGTGGCTCACTGCTGTAATTCTAGCTACTTAGGAGGGGGAGATCTGAGGATCATTGTTCAAAGCCAGCCTGAGCAGGAAAGTCCATGAGACACTTATCTCCAATAAAACCACTGGAAAACTGGAAGTGGCGCTGTGGCTCAACTGGTAGAGCGCTTGCCTTGAACTGAATAGCTGAGAGACAGCGTCCAGGCCCAGAGTTCAAGCCCCAGGACCAACAACAACAAAAAAAGGGTATAAACTTGGGAGTAGGGCTCTGGGCCTCAGAATAGGCACCTGCCAAACCTTCAAGCCAATACCAGTTGTTTTCCAAGATTGTTTCTTTTTTCTTTTTTTAACTAATTTAGTCTTCTTCCCACCACTTACAAATATCTGTTTCTCCATATGCCTGCTGAGGTTATTTTGTGGTTTTGGTTTTTTTTTTTTTGGTCTGGTTGTGGGTCGGAACTCCGGGCCTGGGCACTGTCCCTCAGCTCTTCAGCTCAAGGCTAGTGCTCTACCACTAAGCCACCTTCTCGGCCTTTTTCTTTCTCTTTCTTTCTTTCTTTCCTTCCTTCCTTCCTTCCTTCCTTCTTTCTTTCTTTCTTTCTTTCTTTCTTTCTTTCTTTCTTTCTTTCTTTCTTTCTTTCTTCCTTTCTTTCTTTCTGTGTCAGTACTAAGGCTTGAATTCAGGGCCTCAGGCTCTTGCTTGGCTTTTTCCTCTCAAAGATGGCACTCTATCCTTTGAGCCATATCTCCACTTCTGGCTTTTTGCTAGTGAATTGGAGAGAAGAGTGTCAGATTGGTCTACCTGGGCTGGCTTCAAACCTCCATCCTCAGGTCTCAACCTCCTAATTAGTTAAGATTCCACCAGTCCTGGCCCCTTGCTGAGTATGACTGAAGAGAAGATTCTGTTTGGCCTGGAGAACTCTTAGTCTCCACAGAAGAAACATCTAGTACCCATACCACTGGAACCATCTTTGTCAAAATGGAGTCAAGGATGGGGGCTGGAAATGTGGCTTAGTGGTAGAGTGCTGGTCTAGCATGCATGAAGCCCTGGGTTCAATTCCTCAGTACCACATACATGGAAAAAGCTGCAAGTGGTGCTGTGGCTCAAGTGGTAGAGTGCTAGCCTTGAGCAAAAGAAGCTCTGGGACAGTGCCCAGGCCCTGAGTTCAAGCCCCAGGACTGGAAAAAAAAAATGGAGTCAAGGCAACTTGTTTCTTGGCTTCTTTCTCATGACCTTCTCATCTCCCCAGAGGTAAATAGGAAACAGACGTGGTTGGCTCTCTCTCACCTACGATGTGACTTCTTTATGCCATCTATTTTGTTCTAACTGAACGGAAGCATCCATCAATGTCCCCAGTTCATCCCTCTTTTTCATTTTCATGCGAGTGAATTTACTCTGGGTGTTATTTCCAAATTACATGTGTCACTTTGCTGCGCTTGGGCTTGTCTGTGTGGTTCCAAGATTTATGTGGGGTCGTTTTGAAAAAGAGTGTGATTGAAAAGAAGGCTTTCTGCTGTATTGGCATAATGGGGAGAATAAAAGCTGTCAGGCCGCAGGTGGTCCTTGGACACCAGAAGGAGTTAGCAAGGAAAGTCCAGCTGTCATGTTTCATTTCTCTCTGCCTTACCCATGTATGTTTTATCTGGGAGATGCATATTTTATTGCCCTTTGACTTAAACAAACCCCAAATACTTAACCCTGGAGGTTAGCTGTACGGGGGAAGCTTGAGCAAGACAAAGAGATAGAAGTTCCTGCTGAAAGAGATTCACCTTTTTCAGTACAGAAGTGAACTCCACAGAGACCCCAGGATCTTTTCCCCCACCCTTCCTATCGGAGCTGCAGCAGGCATTGGCAGAAAAAAAAAAAAAAAACCACAGAGGAAATAATATGGTTTTTCAAGAAACTGCTCAGAGGTTCTCAAATTCACAATTCATAGCAAGTAGCCAAAGAATTGATTCTTGAAATGTATTATTCTAGCCAGGTGCTGGTGGCTTGTGCCTATAATCCTAGCTACTCAGGAGGCTGAGATCTGAGGATTGCAGTTCAAAGCCAGCTCAGTCAGCAAAGTCCATGAGAACTGAAAGTGGCATTGTGGCTCAAGTGGTAGAGCGCTAGCGTTGAGCTGAAGAGCTGAGGGACAGCGCCCAAGCCCAGAGTTCAAACCCCAGGACCAACAACAACAACTCTTATATCCAGCTAACCACCAGAAAACCAGAAGCGACTCTGTGGCTCAGAGTGGTAGAGTACTACCTTGAGCAAAAAAGCTCAGGGACAATGCCCAGGCCCTGAGTTTAAGCCCCATGACCCCCAACCAACCAACCAACCAACAAACAAACAAATAAATGTATTCTAAAAGTTCTAGGACAAGTCTGTGCCAGGTCTGTTGTGAGAGCGTAGCAGGCGAACCCGAACCTCTTTTCTGTGCATGTCTTTCTTATCTGTACCCATTCTTAATCTCAGTCACATGATTGTTGGGGTATAGGGGGTTCAGCTCAGGGTAATGGAAATGAAACTTGAGGCCTGAGTGTTTTCCCACTTGGAAAGAAATCATGGTAGGGCAAGAGAGTTTTGAGGTTTGTCTTTGGGTTTCTAGCCATTAGCAAGTACTGAGCAAGTGCTTGATCTGAAATATAAGTGTAGAAATCACTGCCAATAATACTGGGAATGGCTTTTGTGTGTATGTGTGCTAATACTAGAGTTTGAACTCAAGGCCTGGGTGCTGTCTTAGCTTTTTTGCTTAAGGCTGGTACCCTACCACTTGAGTCACAGCTCCACTTCTGGCTGTTCACTGGTTAACTGGAGATAAGAGTCTCATGGACTTTCCTTCCTGGGCTCTGAACCTCAATCCTCAGATCTCAGCCTCCTGAATAGCTAGGATTAGAGTCATGAGCTTCCAGCACCCGGTATTGCAATGGCTTCTATGGAGATATGGATAAGGGAATGCGGAGAGGCTGTTTGGGGTGGGAGTGACATCTTTGTCAAATTTTAATAAGCTGGAAAAGCTGGTGAGGGACATCCACCCCCCCCCCCAGCCCCTGTGAGCTCATGCTTCAATATACAGAGTGAATTGGATGATGGTGGCATTGATGCACACGGGCACCGCGTCGTGATTGATTTTGCAGATGGAAGACAGAGGCGGGTTTCTGCTCAGTACTTCTGTTGACATCAGTGTTTTCAGACATCAAATTTTGATAGATTTTTGGTTCCTTTTTGATGGAAATGCTTACACATCCTAGAAAATCTCCTCTTGGTTTATGTAATAATAGGGAGAGCAAGAAGTCTTCCTATAAAGCTTGTTCCTTTCCACCCTCCCCTATCTCCCAGGAAACTTCACAGAGGTGAGATATTGTCTTCATAAAGTTTCTCATAGCAAATGCTCTTACCCCATGCCCATCTCCCACACCTCAGTTGGGTTTTTTTGTTTGTTTGTTTTTCCAGTCAGTCGTGGGGCTTGAACTGTGGGCCTGGGCACTGTCCCTGAGCTCTTCTGCTCAAGGTTAGCACTCTACCACTTGAGCCACAACACCACTTCCAGTTTTCTGGTGGCTTAATTGGAAATAAGAATCTAGGAAACTTTCCTGCCCGGCCTGGCTTTGAACCGTGATCCTCAGATCTCAGCCTCCTGAGTAGCTAGGATTACAGACGTGAGCCACCAGCACTCGGTGCACCTCAGTTTTAATAGCTATAGCAAAATGGGTTTCTGCTGTCCAACCAAGACACAGGGTGTTACGTTTTAATCATGTGAGTCATGGTCGGTCCAGCCAGTCCTGGTGGCAGGGGGTGTTGGTCTAATATTTGACCTTGACCTTCTCCTTCCCTCCATCGTCCCTGCTGGAAACTGAGGCATTAGCACGCCCATGTGTCTCCAAACAATTGTGAGATTACACAGCCTTCACAACAAGACCTTGTTATAAAAGATGGGGCTTTCTACTGAGCCTTTCCTGGCCTTTCTTCTGTCTGGGGGTGAGCCTGGGTTGTTGTTGTTGTTTGTTTGTTTGTTTGTTTGGGCTTTTTTGTGCTGGTCCTGGGGTCTGGCCTGGGTACTGTCCCTTAGCTTTTTTCGCTTAAGGATGGTACTCTACCACTTGAGCCACAGATCCACCACAGTGTTTTGGTTAATTGGAGATAAAAGAGTCTTATGGACTTTTCTGCCTGGGCTGGCTTTGAACTGTGATCCTAAGATCTCAGCCTCCTGAACAGCTAGGAACATAGGCATGAGCCTCCAGTGTCTGACTTATTTGTTGTTGTTATTGTTGCTGTGAAAAGGGGATATACTGTTTTGTGTTCTGTTTTTTAAAAAATGTGCACAGAATGGAAAATTGTGTATTAACATATTTTTGCATATGGGGGAAGGTTTTATGTGTGTGTGCCAGTCCTGGGGCTTGAACTCTGGGGCCTAGGTGCTGTCCATGAGCCATTTTGCTCAAGGCTGGGCATTCTACCACTTGAGCCACAGCACCATTTCTGGTTGTTTGGAGTAGTTAATTGGAGATAAGAGTCTCATGGACTTTCCTTCCAGGACTGGCTTCAAATTGCCATCTTCAGATCTCAGCCTACTGAGTAGCTAAGATTAGCCTACTGTAAGCCTCCAACACCCAGATTCTTTCTGTGTTTTGAATGGCCACAGTGAAAGTGGACTCATTAAACCAGTCACTGACTTTCAGATATTCAAGTTCTTTCTGGTTTGCTTTGTTGTCATTGTTGGCATGAACATCTCTACTCTGGACTTCTTGGCAACTAAACCTATCTCTGACTGTTCCTTTCCAGTCAACATCACAGGGAGAAGGATAGGGCTAAAAGGTGTGTGAATTCCTAAAACTTGCCAAATTAGTATGGCTACCTGGTGGTCCTTTAGAGCCATTGCAAGAATTGCCAATTGGTGTGCACACTAGGGCTTGGATAGAGGGGTATGTCCACTACCCCAACCCCTGTCATTACTGCACAGGAGAATCCTACGTCAGTCTTTGAATGGATTGTAAAGTAGTCTCTCATTGTTCTGTAATTGCCAACGACATCCAGCATTCATTCAGTCATGTGCTTTGGCCACTGCTATCAAGCGCCTGTCCTTTGCCAAACTTGTAATGCACGACAAAAGCTCTGCTTTAATTAAGCTTGTTCAGAATCCTAAGCCCTAGAAAGCTTTTCACAAAACAGAACTGTAAAGCTCAGAGCTTTTTCTTAATACCTCTTATCTCCTCTAAGCCAAGAAGGAAGAATTCAAGAGCTCAGGATTGATAAACACATCCCCAAGCCTGCGCTTGGCCTACCATTTGGCCAGTAGAGGTCGCTGTTGTATTGACTAGCTCCCAGTTTAATCTGCAACTTCAGACTTAAAGATAGAAAATAAATCAGTGCAGACAGTATTTTTAACAGTTTTTTGTTTTTTTTAAAAAGAGACACAACAAATTCAGGACTTTGTGGTTTTATAAAAGAAAACTGCCTATTTTCTGCACTCTTATGCTTGAATATAAAGCTCTCTGCAAATATTAGGAAGAACCCGTTTATGAAATTTATTGTTAATCATCTAAATTTTTAGGCATGAAGCTTTACTGTACTATGTGTTAGCAGCAGAAACTGGCATTGAAATATCACAGACGAATTTAGCCCACATCTGTGAGGAGAGGCCGGTAAGTACATGAATACTTTTCCAAGTAGAATCTCCAGGATCAAAGATCATGAATTGAGTTTTACGAGGCGGGGGGTTGGGGGAGGTAATTAGTCACTTGACCAAAATATTCATGAATTAACATTTTCCTCCTGGTTTACCTCGTAGGACCTGGCTGGGAGATACTTGGGTGTGAATTGTGTCTGGAGATACTATAACTTCTCTGTGTTTCAGATCGATGCGCCTTCATTTGGTATGTATAGAAAAACAGGTGCTGAACAGAAGCCTTGGAAACTTTTCATCTTCTGTAATGGGGAACAGCTGACAGCTTTGTGTGGCGTGTGATATTGCTAAGCAATTAGGAAGAGAAGTGAAAGACCTCTGCTAAGAAGGTTAATGCTAAACTGCTCTCCGCCGCCAGGCCCACGCCCTCCTCCTTGCCCCTGGTCCTGAGGTGTAGTGGGAACCCATGACTACTTCTCAAGAGAATGCTATGAGGATGCAGGTTCCTGGGCTGGTTATTTTGCTTTGTTACTGTCTTCCCTGTGGCGGAGTCTGGCCTTTAGGACCCGGATGTTGCTCAAGGGCTTCTGATGAATTTCAGCCAATGGGGGCCCTGGTGGGCGGGTAGCCTAGTAGGAGGCATTCCTCCCTCTGTCCACAGTTGTGCCCAGTTTCTGCCACTGACTGCCCTTCCGTGGCTCCACCCACTCCCTCCAGCCCCCTCTGCTCCCGCAGGACCAAGAGGCTCTGGTGTTACACAGCCACACTCAGACCTAGCTTCCTCCAGGCTTAGCTTTATAGCTCCCCCCCCCCCCCCCCCACCCCCGAAGCCTAGCAATTACTTTTCCATGATGAAACTTCTCTCTCTAGCTCCCCATGATGGATTCTGCTCTTCCAGTTGAACATTGGTACCTACCCTCTTAGCCACACATCAACTTTACAATAACAATAAAAATAAACTTTTTAAAAAAGGAAATGCATGGCTAAACCAAAGTAAAGAGCCAGGCAGGGGCTGGGAAGGTGGCTCAGTGGTAGAGTGCTTGCCTTGCATGCATGAGGCCCTGGGTTCCCTTCCTCAGCACCACATAAGCAGAAAAATCTGGAAGTGACACTGTGGCTCAAGTGGTAGAGTGCTAGCCTTGAGCTGAAGAGCTGAGGGACAGTGCCCAGGCCCAGAGTTTAGGCCCCACGACCGGCAAAAATGAAAAAAAAAAAAAAAAAAGAGCCAGGCACCAGTGGCTCATGCCTATAATCCTAGCTGCTCAGGAGACTGAGATCTGAGTGTTGGAGGCTTGAAGCCAGCCCATGCAGACAAATCTGACATACTCTTTTGTCCAGTTAACCAACAAAAAGCCAGAAATGGAGGTGTGGGTTAAGTAGGAGAACACCAGTCTTGAGCAAAAAATGAGAGCCCAAGGTCCTGAGTTCAAGTCCCGGCACATACACACACACACACACACACACACACACACACACACACACATACACACACACAGAACAAAGACAGCCAACACAGGTAGCAATACTTTAGATGTGAACTAAAGGCAACCTGGATGATAAGCCACTTGGAAGACAAGCTATATCCAGAGATGAGGGATGGTCAGGCCAAAAGCTAGACAGCAGGGCAACATAAAGATGTTCTGAATTCACAGTATGTAGCGAGCACACCCCCAGTGGGTCTAGAATAGAACTACTTGACCAATGAGTACATTGTCTTGTGTTCTGCAGCATATTTGAAAATGGGAGACCTCTACTATTATGGCCACCCAAACCAGACCCAAGACTTGGAGCTGTCTGTGCAGATGTACGCCCAAGCAGCCCTGGATGGAGACTCCCAGGTGAGCATCCACAGCTCCCGCTCTGAAGCAAGGGCTGAGCATCTCTCTGGGTCCTTAGGCTGCATAGCTTGCTGACATCTACGCAGAGTGCAGCAGCTCCTAGAGAATGCCAACTAGCATGGTGGCCTTGGTTGAGCCCCTACTCTGTGGCTTTCCCTCCTTACAATCTCTGGGGGCATTTCTGTCATTTCCTTTCTAATCTGAGAGGCCAGGTAATGGGTTTCTTAAGGCTAAATTACTCAGGGGAAGCAAAGATGCCAGAGCATAGTACCGGGTATGTATAGCTCTAAGCCTGAGGATGCTTCTACCAGATTCCGTGGAACTAATTCACCTGGTGGTAACTGACACTCTAGCGACGTCATCACGGTGGGTGTGGTTTATATATGGTTAGACCATGCTTCTGTAATAAGACTTCTCAATGACTGGTTTTTTGTTTGTTTGTTTGTTTGTGGATCCGGTCATGGGGCCTGAACTCTGGGCCTGGGCACTGTCCCTCAGCTCTTCAGCTCAAGGCTAGCACTCTACCACTTGAGCCACAGCACCACTTCCGGCTTTTTTTCTTTTTGCTTATGTGGTGCTGAGGAAGGGAACCCAGGGCCTCATGCATGCAAGGCAAGCGCTCTACCACTGAGCCACCTTCCCAGCCCCATGACTGGGTTTTTTTTTTAAACTTATTTTATTTCATGTATTTATTTAATTTTGTTGGGCTTGGGGCTTGAATATAAGGCCTGGGCACTGTCCCTGAGCTCTTTGGCTCAAGGCTAGCACTCTACCACTTGGAGCTACAGCACCATTTCCAGTTCTCTGGTGGTTCATTAGAAATAAGAATCACACAGACTTTCCTGCCCGGGCTGGCTTTGAACCACAATCCTCAGATCTCAGCCTCCTCAGTAGCTAGGATGACAGGAATGAGCTACCGTCACTCAGCTTGAAACTTCTTTCAAAATAATGTTCAATTTATTGAAAAGCACAAAAAGAATCTAGAGAGTTCCTGTGTACTCTTTACTTACTTCGTGTGTGTGTGTGTGTGTGTGTGTGTGTGTGTGTGTGTGTGTGTGTGTGTGTGTTGGTCCTGGGGCTTGAACTTAGGGACTACACATTGTCCCTAGGCTTCTTTTACACAAAGCTAGTACTCTACCACATTGAGCTGCATCACTTCCATTTTTTTTTTCTCAGTAGCTTATTGGAGATAAAAGTCTCATGGGCTTTTCTGCCTGGGCTGTCTTTCAACCACAATCCTCAGTTCTCAGCCTTCTGAGTAGCTAGGATTACAGCGATGAGCCACTGGTACCCAGCTACTTCCTTCCTTTAATATGAATGAAGCCATGCCAGTGAAACCATTCACTAGGGGACAGTGATATTATTTATACTTCAGACTTTGGGTTTCATCTGCCTTGTTACTAACATTCCCTCTCTGTCCCATAACCAATGCAGGATTCTATGACATCTCGTTGGTAGGTGGGAAGTATTTGTGGCTGTTTTGCTCAAAGCTGGCACTCTACCACTTGAGCCACAGCTCTACTTCTGGCTTTTTGCTGGTTAATTAGAGATAAAACTTCTGGCTTTTTGCTGGCTGGAGATAGAAGTCTCATGGACTTTTCTGCTTGGGGTTACCTTTGAACCATTGTCCTCAGATCTCAGCCTCCTGAGTAGCTGGGATTGGAAGTGCGAGCCACCAGTGCCTGGTGCCATCCTTCTTCTTTGGCCTGAGGCAGCCCTTCAGTCTCAGTAATGGCCTGCATACTTGGTTGAGTGTTTTGTAGAAGGTCTCTTGATTTTGGTCCATCTTCTGTTTTCTCATGAATAACTTTGAGATTGAAGATTTGGGCAAGCAAGAATACTACAGGGGAATATGTTTGTGTTGGGTCATATTAGGGGTATATGGGACCAGCAAGGTGCAATTCAGCACCTAGTTAAGTGGTTTCTGTTGCATCTCTCCTCTGTACAGTTTCTATTTTTCCTTGCTAATTTGTAAATATCTTGAAGGGATAGTTTGAGACAATGCAAAGATCATGCTTGGCCTCAAAAGTTTGCCCCTGAGATTTAAGTGTATTGCACCCCAGCAATAATTATTAGCCTGGTATTGTAATGATAATTTTTCTATTTCCCTCATTCCCTCTCCAATTGCTAATTGGAATTCTCCTGTGAGGATCTCAGGGTCATTTCCACATAGGAAGCTGGTATAGCCATGGCCTGTTTATGCAAGTTATGGTGGTATGCTTTGTACTCTGATCACAGAGCAGAAGTTGGAAACTTGTCCCAGCCTTCCTCTGTGTTTCTTGGATTCCTCCCCTCTCCTCCTACTCCTCTACTTCCTTTTTCCCCTCTTCTTTCCATTTCTCTTCTTCTGCCTTTCTTTTTATGGAAGTATTCAATTTCTTTATTCCCTCTCTCTATTCTTCCATTTTTTTCCCTTCTCCTCTTATAACTGCTTGCACACAGTGAGTCCTCAAGTCTCTGTTTTGTCATCTGTCCATTGGAGTAATAACGGCGCCCAATTCATCAGATGTGAGGGTTAAGTTAAATGTTTGGTGCAAGTCTCTGGGCCCCGCGCTATGTACATTCAATAAACACCAGCGATTCTATTATTATAACCACTGGAATGCAACAGCAGTTACTGCACAAGGGATTTGAGGTACAAACTCCCTCAGAAGATAACCATTGTTACTTAAAAGAGGCCTGGATAATTTGGGTTTCAGTTTGGTTATTTTTTAGAAAGATAATACTCCATAAACAACAAAGATAATGTTAAAAGAAAAGTAGCAAAGAATGTCTGCAGTTCCTTCTGTCTTCATGTAACCTTCCAGGCCAGGCCTACCAGCACATGGGTCTGCTGTGTTATCTGTGGTGTGACTGCCACTTTAAATCTGCCTTATCAATAATCACAACACTGTGTAATTAATGATATAGTATCTTTATTACTCATTGGCAGGCTGCCCTAGATTTCATTGAGCAAATGGATCTTAATGCTTTTTTTCCCCACTTTTTGGGATGGGTCCTAGGGCTTGAACTCAGGGGCTGGGTATTTTCTCTGAGCTTTTATGCTCAAGGCTAGTGCTCTACCATTTGAGCCACAGCTCCACTTCAGGCTTTTTATTGGTGAATTGGCAATAAAGAGTCTCAAAGACTTTCCAGACGTTGCAGGCTGGCTTCTAACTCTGATCCTCGGATCTCAGCCTTCTGAGTAGCTAGGATACAGGCATGAGCCACCCGTGCCCAACCCGTACATTTTTATGTATAGAAAGGAGACACTTGACATAAGATCATCAGGCATGAGTAGCACCCCAGCCTCAAAACATTTTGTCAGATTTCTGACAGGTTGATGGTGACCAACGGCCTAGTGTCTTGGTTTTGCGGCTGGTCCATTGGCATGTTTTCCAACGAGTTTTGTTTCCCGAGCTTGGATGGAAAAGGCCAGATCTCTCGGTTGACTGGCTGCTGAGCAGATGGGACGCAGCATCCTTTGTAAACCTCCTGGTTCTCCTGCAAATAAATTTCTCAGATGCATATATTTAGGGAAACAATTCATCAATGAAATGACAAAGCCATCTGGCTCTAGGGACTGCAGAAAAAAATATTTTTAGGGGGTTATAAAAGTTTATATTCTAGTGAAGGACGTGTATGTGTGTCTGGGTTATTATATGTATTCTGAAAACTTGGTAAGTTTGGTTTATGGCTTGTTTTCAGGGATTTTTTAACCTGGCCCTGCTAATTGAGGAAGGTGCTATAATCCCACACCACATTTTGGATTTCTTGGAAATTGACCCAACACTCCATTCTAATAATGTCTCCATTCTCCGAGAGCTGTACGAAAGGTCAGTCCTCTGCTTCTCCTCTAACACCAGGAACTCCAGCAGACCCCAGTGGGTGGGGCTTGCTCTAAGATTCAGGTTAGCCACTCCCTTGTTTTGCGATATCACGTGTTGGAAAAAAAGAACTCAGGATTTGCTTTGCTTGGAAAGCACTCAACCAAACCCACATTCATTTCCCTTTTGTAGTATCTGAGGGTTGAGATAGAGAATGTACTTGATCTGAAGTTCAAGTGCTGACCAAGAGTTTCCATGCAGAGTGGGAAAATGAACACACTTGATTGGCTTACGATTTCCAGAAAGATAGCAAGCGTGCCTACACTTGGACTTTGGACAGAGACTCAGAAATATCATTCTGGCAAGTTCTGGGCTCAGAGTCCTCCCTAATAACGAAGGATGGCAATAACCTTTTGGGAAAGAAATTGCTGCTAGGATCTCAGAATGCCAGAACTACTTTATTCTCTGCATCTCTAATGGAGTGCATTCCCGGTGCCAAGTCCTGAGTGCGGGTGGGAGAGTCTGAAAGGCTGGTTGTGAATGGTGCCATGACAACTGACTGACACATCCGGGCTTCATCCGTAGGTGCTGGAGCCACAGCAATGAGGAATCCCTCAGCCCCTGTACCCTGGCCTGGCTTTACCTGCACTTGAGGCTTATCTGGAGTGCCATCCTGCACTCTGCCCTAGTAGGTATCTCCCTCAGCCCTGTCCTCCCGGTCCCTACCCTGTCAGTCATCTAACACATGCTCTGGATGTTTGCAGATCTACTTTTTGGGAACCTTCCTGCTGTCTGCGTTGATTGCCTGGATTGTGCACCATTTCCAGTCCATCTCAGGTAAAGTCTTACAAAAAGCCAAGGTAGGATAGAAAGGGGAATTCTCTGGGGGGGAGTCTCCTCTAGGGTTTATTAGGGTATATATATAGTCCCTGTCAGGAAGCCACTGAACAACTTTGTCAAAGTAAGGTGTTGTGTGTGTGTGTGTGTGTGTGTGTGTGTGTGTTTAAAGAGCTTAAGAAATTAAAGAAGTAAAAGTGTGGCTCAGGTGGTAGAGCACTAGCCTTGAGTGAAATGTAAGAGACAATACTCAGGCCCTGAGTTCAAGCCCCAGAACCAGTGAAAGAAATTAGTCTAGAATATTTTCTCCCATTAAAAAGACATCATATACCAAAATTCTCCCCCTGTGCTTGAGAATCCACTTCCAAAGCCTGCGTGAAGCCTTTTGTTTATTCCAATCAAGCATCCAATGCAAGAAAGGTTGGACCACCATTGACTGAACAAACAGGCCAAGCCGCAGGGACTCGGAAGGAGGGTCCAAGTAGCATTCTCCCCTTTGTTTTTTTCACTACTAAGTACTGTTCTTCTGAGCTGTAGTAAGGGATCTTTAAGGACATGCTTCCTCCATCCCTTCCATTCAGGCTAAGCCCAAACTTGACTTCTCATTAGCTTGTCACTTAGGTAAACTATTCAACCTACTTAATCCCCAGTTTCTCTTGGAAGTTTTTTGTTGTTGTTGTTTTGGAGGTTGTTGTTGTTTTGGGTTTTTTTTTCCCCCAGACCTGGGGCTTGAACTCAGGGCCTTGGCACTGTCCCTTGAGCTTCTTTTGCTCAAGACTAGCACTCTACCACTTGAGCCACAGTGCTACTTCGGCTTTTTTTTTTTCTATTTATGTGGTACTGAGGAATTGAACCCAGGGCTTCATGCATGCTAAGCGAGCACTCTACCACTAAGCCACATGGAAGTTCTAAGAATAGCCATTTCCCAAGGATAGAAGATATAAAAATTGCATTTAAAAGTAAATGTAAGCTGGATATTGGTGGCTCACGCCTGTAATCCTAGACACTCAGGATACTGAGATCTATGGATCATGGTCAAAGCTAGCCCAGGCAGGAAAAAAAAAAAATTGTATTTAAGATACTTACCTAAGCAGAGCTCTGGTGGCTCATGTCTGTAACCCTAGGTATTAAGGAGGCTGAGATCTGAGGATCATGGTTCAAAGCCAGCCCAGGCAGGAATGTCCATGAGACTCTTAGCTCCGGAAATGATGCTGTGGTTCAAGTGGTACAACACTTGCCTTAAGTTGAAGAGCTAAGGGACAGCGCCCAGGCCCAGAGTTCAAGCCCCATGACCAACAACAAAAAAGTCGCTTATCTAGGGGTTGGAAGCATGGCTCAATTGGTAGATCACTAGCCAATGAATAAAAGCATCAGGTACTGAGTTCAAGTTCCAGTCTTGGGCCAAAAAAAAAAAAGATGCTTATCTAAATGGCAACTGGGGTTAAATGGTAGCTACTATACTTCTCTGGCATATAATGCCCTCTGGATAAAGCTTAGCCATTACTGATTGTATTCTCTCTAACTTAGGTAAGCTGAGTTAGAGGAAAGGCTAAGGCTTAAGCCTGGCATTCACAAGAACTCTTACTACAAATGTCAGCCCTATAAATGTCTCTTGGTGGAAAAATTGCAGTTTTCCACCATCATGGTGGTGACTGTAGGGGATATTAAATAGGCTTAATTAGGTAACCGATGAAGAGAACACCTCATGGTATTCAGGCAGGAAAAGAAGCTTATTTACCAAGCTGCTGCCCCAGCCATGACCTACCCCCAAGCCAGGATTTATCTAGACCTGGGAAAGGAAGAGGTGTGGCCAGGTGGAGGAAAGGTGTGGCCACACTGGATGGGATGTGACCTCAGGGTCTAGGTCTCTCCTATGGTCAGATGAGAGGCCTGTGAACAGGGGTGGCCCCAAGATGTGACCTAGCCGGAAGGGGAGGTGACTGCCTCCAGGTGTGCCAGTTACCTAGGTAACGCAGATACTGGGCAGAAACTTAGCCAAGATGTTGGGAGGCAACTGCACAGGGCCTGCAGAGGCCCAGGGCAGACCTTACTGTGACCAAAGGCGTATAAACTCATGAAGACTAACAGAGACGTACAAAAAGATAAATCAGGGGTACGGTGATATTTGTGTATTATTGTGGCCATTATTTATGTAGTCGACAAGGAAAAGGAAAGGAATGCCGCTGCCACACCTCTTCTTGAGGAGGAAGAAATGGCTGTTTGCAAGGTGACCCAGAGTCCTTTCCCGTGATTTAGCTCATTCAAAGCCCTTCCACACGTGAGGGCTCATGCCCTCCCAGTTAATAAACCTGCCTCATGCAGATTGTGTCCCATCGCTAAATTTGTTGCCAGGTCGGGCACATTTATTTTGCATCTTGTCAGTGTTTTCCATTTCAAATTATCTTTGTCATTTTTTTTCACTCTGTAGAAATATTGTTATGATTATTACAAATGCAGTTCCGTTAGAGGAGCTGAAAATTGCCTTGATGATTTTATACCAGCTGGTAGCCATGAAAATTCATGGGCGGTGAAGAGCTTTTTCAGAAGTCGGCTTTTTCCCTTGTCTTCTCTCTCTTCTCCATTGTCAGTCTGTCTGCATTCTCCTCCCCCTGTCCTTCCTGTCTGTTGAGATATCCTTCCTTTTCTGTGACTCCTGCGTTCATTGGGTCACACATTCCCCTTGTTCCTTCAGCCTTTGTCCAGCATACCCCCCTACCCACTGGACCAATTCAGAGAGAGAGAGAGAGAGAGAGAGAGAGAGAGAGAGAGAGAGAGAGAGTGTGTGTGTGTGTGTGTGTGTGTGTGTGTGTGGTCTTGGTCTTGAACTCAGGGCCTGAGGAGGTCCCTTAGCTTTTTCTGCTCATAGACAGAACTCTACCACTTGAGCCACAGCTCCACTTCATCTTTGTAGTAGTTCATTGGAGATGAGTCTCAAGGACTTGCCTGGCTGGCTTTGAACAGTGATCCTCAGATCTCAGCTTCCTTAGTAGCTTGGATTATAGTTGCTAGGTGCTACCAGCACCCGGCTTGCCCTAGCCTTTGCCTAACTCACTTAGAAATCAGTGGTAGGCGTCTATGATTCTTGCTCCACCGTAAACTGTGGTGACTTTAAAAATCAGAGGATCCTACCTGTGCCTCAGTTTCCTCTTCTATAACAGCAGAAATGAGGAAATCAGTGATTTGATCTTCCTTCCTTCCCTTCCTTCTTCCTCTCTCTCTCTCTCTCTCTCTCTCTCGTTTTTTGTTGTTGTTGTTGTTGTTGTTGTTGTTTTGCTTTTTTTTTTTACCAGTCCTGGGGCTTGCACTCAGGGCCTGGGCACTGTCCCTGAGCTTCTTTTGCTCAAGACTAGCACTCTACCACTTGAGCTACAGCACTACTTCCAGCTTTTTCTGTGTATGTGGTACTGAGGAATTGAACCCAGGGCTTCATGCATGCTAGGCAAGCACTCTACCATAAGCCATATTCCTAGCCCTAACCTTTGTCTCTAAAAGCTTGGTGTAAGCTCTGTTTTGGAGGGCAGATCTTTGTAATTGGCCATCTGCAGTTCGCTAGTGCTCAAATAAAGACTCCAGAACTCGACCTCTCAATGTGGTTTCTCCATATTCTCATGGCTGGTTTTCTATCTGATTTAAGGTGTAATTTTACTGCACAAGAGTAGCACATTGTCTTCTCATGAAATGACACCATGCGTAGTGCTGAGATCTTCACCTGTGGTACTCCCAAGGAGTTAGGTTTTATGGAGCATTTCACCTGCAATTAGAGGGTGCTGCCACCAGGAGCAGCTGCCCTTAAATTGCTTCATTTAGTGCTAACAATTACTAGTGCCTATAGCAAGACTTTTTTTTTCTTTTTCTTTTTGTCTGTCATGGGGCTTGAACTCAAGGCCTGTCTCTGAGCTGCTTTGGCTCAAGGCTAACACTCTATCACTTGAGCCACAGCACCACTTCAGGCTTTTTTCTGTATATGTGGTACTGAGGAATCGAACCCGGGGCTTCATACAATCTAGGCACTTCTACCACTGAGCCACTTTCCTAGCCCAAGCAAACTTTTTTTTTCTGTTTTGTGAGACTCTTTCTACACTGTAAGCTTCTTTTTCAGAGCATTTAAACTTTTGACAACTAATTTATCAAAAGTACGAAGATAGTGCATGACTGTGCACATCTTGCGTTTCCTTTAAGGGCCTTATTTTTCACTCTGAGCTTGTAGTCCACAGGCAGCTTCATCTTTCATGAGCTTAATGCTTCCCAGGATAGCAGAAAAGTCCCTGGGCCTCTTGTAGTCCTGGAGTCACTTCGCTGTCACTAGTCAGAGAGCAAAACACACATCTTCCCTGGCCTAGACTGTCCCTCTGGGGTCCATCAGATACATAACTTCTGGGTCACCTGGCAGCTCTACCCTCTTTGAAGAAGATAAACACCATTTGCCTTCCTCTCCCATCAACTCTTCCCATTTCAGAAAGCTGCAAGGACAACCCGCGGACAGGCTCGGCCCCTCTCCAGATTCCAGAAAGCTCTTTCCCTGCCTCACTGCATCTCAAAAGTACTCTCTCCCACCCACCCCACTGAGGATACCAGACATAATTACTTTAATGGAGCAGGCTTTTGAGAAACAAAATGAAAAAAGAATCCAGAGTAAAATACATTTAGAGTTCTGTCCACTCTGCCCACAACTCCCCTGGAAACAACAGCCAAAAAACAAAACAATAGCCAAAAAAAAAAAAACCCTGGAGCCTGACTGGCTGCCCAAGGGAGGTCAAGGAAGAGAGGCGATTTAGATAGAAATGCCATTTCAAAGAAAGAATCCTGTCTTCCTGTAGACTGAGCATTGCTCATTTGAAAGTACAAAATCTTAAGTGCTCCAAACTCTGAGACTATGGTGAGCACCATCACGACTCCACCAGTGGAAAAGCCCACACCTGGTCTGACCTCGTGTTGTGTGGTTACAGTCAAACTACAGGTGAACTCCATTTATTCATTGTATAAAAATTGCC